GAAAGCAAACGTGTGATTTTGCTATAATCCATAGTGTAGTGCAAACTATAAATAGTCCATAGTTGGATCAAACGTGATTTTGCTTTAGTTCATACAAACGGGATGGACGCAAAAGTTGCCAACACAACAAACCAGATTTTACTAATCGAATTACTTTCAGTGTGTAATACAGGCGAAAGATGGCGGGAGGGGGTGTCAGTCATTGATATTAGATTAAATTTACTATTCATTTATTATTTTATTCAAATAATTGTTATGTTTTAATTATTATTCATTTATTTATTTAATGTGCATGCATTGTTACACTACGCCATTTATTTATTGATCATTTTTGGGGTATTCATTTATTATTCATTCATTGTAATGCTACGCCAAGGCAATGTTATACGTTTAAGCAAGTTTTCTCGAGAGTTTTTTTTTTCCAAACCATAACAAACACGCATTTTAGTATTACTATACAAAAATACCTCAAGTGGTATCAGATGTTCCACAAGGTAAACATAACATGGCTCGTGCACGACAGCTGTCACTACTTAAAGCCTAACGAGGTTATGGAATTCAGAAGCAACTGAAATGGATAGACGATAGCCCCGTTACCAGAGGCCACCAGCGGAGTCAATTTCCAGGGTAATATCGAAACAGATTCGTTATAAATAGAAAATGGCTGCCTGGGAAAATCCGTTATCCTGGTGTAAAACTAATTAGTATAAGTATTTGTGTATATAATATTATAAAGGTTAAATACGTGAGATATTTGCTAGAATGTAAATATAGTATGTTATTTTTTGTGTATGTATGTCGTCGAGTATAACAACTATGTTAAAATTACGTATGTTTACCTATATTTGTATTGTCAACACATATGTTAAATACATTATGTTACACTGGGCGTTTTCCCTCAAGGGCGTATCATTGATGGGTTGAGATAACTGATTTAAATCATAATGAAGAAATATTTGCCCTTGCAGTAAAAATCTTCCCATCGTTCGTATGTACATTATTTACTGAGTATTGTTTGTTATGAATTATGTTAACATAGTAGCCTACACTGCCTGCACTTTATAATTTTCAGCACACCTATCGGATTCGAACCCGGTACGTGAACGTGGTGAAGAGTAGGTGGGAATGTACATGTTAGTCTTAAAAGTATTGTGTTGCAGAGACGTGAAACCCCACAATTCCAGCTATCAGATAGGATTATTTACATTTAAAAGGACATTATGAAAGAACTAAATCTGCCTATTGTGGGTCTTTCTTTAAGCCTGAAATGTTATATAAATTATTAACTTACCAAGACCATAATCAACTCTCGGTGCCATCAGATGGCTACGATATAAGTAGATTTAAATACGTTTTGTGGTCGATGCGGTTCCCGTTAAAATGGATATCGTAACAACGGTAGTAATGACAATCTGGCTAGACTATTTGTATGGCCGATATCTGGGCTCAGATTTAAGTAATTTGACTGAAATTTTCAGCATATTCTCTTTTCATTTTCTAGTTTTTACACTATTATAGAGAGAACTGTTACCTCTTTATCTTATCTTACCTAATTCCGCTTTAAAATATAGCAGTGGGGTTTAAGTGTACGAGCAAGATTCATTCTATATTATATGGGTGTAATTTCCTATGCCACCCGAACCCAACCCTAAATGCACCATCGTAGAAATTCCGAATACAAGTCATAAGAAGTCTGTGTCAAGAATTGTGCACTTATGTAAACCTATGTCCGTAATTTCCTTTGATCTTCAGAGTTAATTAGAATTCGCAAGACATATTTACTGAGTACAAGGTTATTATGTCGTTTAACTTTATTCATTGTGTAGCATTAGTTGGCTTCGAATATTCGCGTCTTTATATTGCATGTTCGCTTTCGATATACTAATGAAACACGAAGGAATAGATGTGAAAATCAGAATAATGTCGCATCTTCACATAAAGGTACAAACAAAAAATCGCCGTTTCCGGTCAGCATACCGCTGAAGAAAATGAACTAAAATTGTGTTTAATTGTTTAAAGGGCGCATGGCTCTATTTTTTGGAACTATTTAATGGTTCTTAAATCACATATTAATGTAATATGAGTGTATATAAACTGATTTATATTCAATTTTTAAAAAAAAAAATGTAATTTCTAATTTTATGTTCGGTGAAATACGTGAATAATACAAACTGAACGACAGTCGTTTACGTCTGCTTCGTCCGTTCTAAAGGGATTTTTTATATTATTTTATCATTTGTGAATCATTCATTACTATTTACTGTCGCATTGTAATTTAGGATATGTTTTTCTTTGTTCATTGATTTTGCGAACGAAACCATACGGAACAAGACTCGTGTCTTTAATTTCGAATATTGAAAATATTGAGTTAGAGATTTGGCTCCTTTAATGTCCTACTGTTCTGATCCATTCGGGTTAATGAAAACGAGAGACTTCAAGGTAAGGAGCCGGGGCCTTCATCACTGAGCCACAGTGGCTCCCATTCCACTGCAGATAACATCTATTTTGTGTTTGTTTATGTGACGGTTCATATATCAGAGTAATATAGCACCTCTGTTTTCTTTTACCTCGGATTATACCCACATGTTTTACCACTTTGACATAATCCCGGAAATCATTATCCCTTAAACACTGTATATAACTCCAAAATCAGTTACCGGAAACATAGCTAAGAAGATGGTCTGTTTGCTTGTGTTGTGAGTTATTCAGGTAACGAGTGGTATTATGAATGTAAGTAAAGTGAGTTATTTGGGTAATTGGTATTTACTGATGAATAATGGAGACATTCCAAGAGCTTTACAGTTGAATTCAACTGACGGGTGGTATATAGGTAATAAATGAAAGCCATTAGACATTTACCAAAATACCTATCTTCTTTATATACATTATCATATATTTACAAATAGTTTTGGCTAGTGTTAGCCTCCAGCATGAAACTATCTTACTTACGTTGTTGTACTTTCTTCTGAAGATCATTTGAAAGTAAGACACAACACTTTACTTTTAATACAACATTATATTTTTAACACAACATTTTATTTTTAACACAACATTTTATTTTATTTGTAACACAACCTTTTATTTTTAATAAAACCAGCTTGGATCAGCTTTGTTTACGAATTCGAAATGGTTTTGAGTTTTTATTTTATAATTATGGAAAAGAAATCATTGTATCAGTCTTTATGAATTAAATGTTGGACAAGTCTCACAGATCTGTGTCTGAATGTTTTTCATTGCTAGAATTGCTGCAGGTATGTATAGGTGTACATGCAATGACTATCTGTGATTTCACCTAGGTTGGAAGCGGACGTTAAATAAAACATTGCAAAAAAATAGTGCAGCGGTATTGTAATACCAAAATAAAGACTAAGCGTTAGCTTTGCAATGGTTGTCTGTGATAAGGCCTAAGTTGGAAGCGGACGTTAAATAAAATATGACGTGGATACATTGCAAAAAATAGTGCAGCGGCATTTAATTGTTCATGTAATACCAAAATGACGTCTACGCATTAGTTTTGCCAAAAGGTATTATCTATCATATATATAATGACCTAGTGCCTATGTCACGGCATAGGTCAGGTCAGTAAAGGTTAGAGCTAAATGGTCTGCATTAAAACATGATTCCTAATAGGTTTACGTGCGAGAAAATGGTACGAAGAGCCAACAATTTGTTAGATCATTTGGCACAATACAGTCACATTGTGTTTCATTTTCATTCTGTTAGATCATAATATCAAACGTTGAATAAGTTTCCAACATCTACCCCGCACTTCTGAATTTATTAGATATTTGATCTTTTGTTGAAAAATCACTTTAAATATACATGTAAACGTTTGTTAAGAGATTTGGTTTTAGCATGTGGGTGTTACATATTAAGAGATCGGGATGTATATAAGTATCTGTTTGATATGTAAACTAATTAATATAAATAACACGCGGCAAGTGTCTAGTAATTTGAATATGTATATAATGGTGTTCTTGTTTTACATTAATCAAGTATAAGTAATTATAGTAGAAGTTTATATAGAGTGGTTTGGCTTACGTCTTTAGTGTTTGAATATTATGAAAGAATGTCGTCATTGTGACTGACAATTCTTTTATAAATCTAGCTCCTATTTCGGCTTCGGCTTCATTTTATTGTGAGTAGTGGTGGTTTTCATACAGTAGGCGTTACATGCTGAATTATATAGACACGAAAAATTGCTGTAATTAGTTTATGGACAATTCTTAGATAAAAGACTTAATTTCAGTTTCTGAAATCCAAGGGAAAGTCCGCGCTCAATCGCTCAGTTTAGCTGCAAGTAATGGGCTATGCTCACTTGATACTTATTTAAAATTTTATTTACATTTAATAGTAAGTTTGGTTACATGTTACATTTGTATACGGATATAGTCCCAGTGTGTAATTATCGATATGGGGTATAAATGCACACATACAAGTAGATAGGAAAATGAATACAACATTATCAAACGACCTTTTGTTCCCTAGCTTGTTATGTATATACAAAAGTTAAAAATTGAACGAAATGCAAGGAAGCGGGGATTACCGTTCTACCTTTCGGTACCAAATATAAACAACCGACTTAAATGATTGTATTTCTTTTCATTTGTTCATTAATACTATATTTTTCAAAAAATAAAATACAAAAATCATTTTACGTATAGCCAAGTTTAGCACATCTTTTCTGTTAATCATCAGCTAGTGCGGCGTCTTCTTTAGTGCAAATAAAAGAAGAAGTCGTTATATACACGCCTAACAAGGACAGGTGTATAGTCATTCGAATGGGACGAAAAACCGAGGTCCCGTGTATACATTGGCGTGCACGTAAAAGATCGCTTGACAGTTGGAATTCGATATAAGAGTAAGCCATAGTGCCGTTGCCCGGGCAAAATTTCCCTTATAGCACACTGTATGACGTATGCCCGTCTTCATTTCGGAGCAGAACAACAGGACGTTAAACCCCATTTCATTTCATTTCGTAATATAAAATATATAGTTACCTGTGGTTGACAACAGTTCTGACATCTTGTACATCCAGTCATTCCATTTATACTCTCAAATATAGCTATCACCATGGTTATCACTTCAATACCATTCCTAGACAACATGGCATCATCGTTTTATACAATCGTCTTTCAACAGTTTAACATCCAATGTCAAAATTTTAGCTCTTTATCCTCAAAGACGTCGACGTTGTCTTCCAAAACAAAGTCATAAACACAATTAAATTTCCCAATTCTATTTTATTTTTTCATATCATCGGTTGAATCACTCTCATCTAATCGATAATGGTCGCTTTATATCATAATCGCTAAAATGATTAATTCATTTAATCTAATCGATAATGGTCGCTTTATATCATAATCGCTAAAATGATTAATTCATTTAATCCGTTATCTAAATTGATCTTTCCACTAATTTAAAACAAATCTCACTAAATCATAATCACAAAAAAATTAATTCCCTTGCGAGAGTTTCACAAATTTCACGTCTTCCCAAGATTTCTGGCTGTAATCGACAACACTGACTAACCACGTCCAACGGACTAGAAAATCACTTCGGTTACATATATAACCTGAATATGACACCCAAATTTTACAAGTAAGTAGAGAGGGTAATTAATTAAACATGTCGACTCATAGAAAACCACACATTTCAAGTTGTTCCACTATTTCTGATGTGATACTTGTACATAATTTCCTTTTTAACACACTAATAATAGACAGCTATCTAATTCATGGAACTAATTCGCTGAACTTTCAAAACCTTTTACACTGCAATAAAGAGATATAGAAATGGGGTTTAACGTCCACTCGATACAAACTACGCTATTACGGGACTGACATGATAATGATACAATTTATTTCAAGAATAAGCTTGTGCTTAGTGTTCTTTGTTTAGCAGTAGGGTTAAACCGTGGACCCGCGGGGACCCGGAGAAAACCCACGAGGTTGGGCAGGCCATTTGACTCAATAACAGTCACCCCCCCCCCATCCTACACTGCAGTAAAGAGAGTGTTGACAAACGAGACCTAATCTTCTTTGCTTTAGAAATGTCAAGGGTTCTTTCACGTGCACTCCAAAATGTATACCGATGAACCTCGGTTTGTCCTCCCATCTGAACTGGTCAGAGTCGTAGGTGCTACCCCTGATATGTTGAAGCTGGCTTGAACAATCCCGAGGTCCCTCTCGACCCCCACCCGGGGTTCTTCCGATGTTCAAATAACGTACACTGGGTTTCCAAATAAAGCTAAAGATCCAAAGTCAAATGTTTTTGGCGCCATTTCCTTAGAATACATAATATTTGTCTTTGTATCTTTTAAGCGACCAAATAAAAATTTAACGGACGATCAATTGAATGCACGTTCCCCATAAAGAACAAACCATTAATTTAATCTCCTAAAATTACCACTAGAACCATTAATAAACTCACCCACAATTTAATTTGTATTTGACAGCACTGTATAAATTCTGGATAATAAACAGACACTTACATATGCACGTACATCACACCAACATATTATTGTGTATGTAACACACACGTACTCTGTGCTATAATCACATGGTATGTTAATATATATTATAATTACACTACCATGTATTACACCTGCATGTCATTACATTAATATATCTACATCAATGCCAATCACTAAATGATAAAACAAATATACAAAAAACGTAATGGAAGGAAATGATGTTTAACGTCCTGCTGTTCTGAACCAACCCGGATAATGACGGCGGATACAAAAATTGTATTATCACTAACTCTATCTGTAAAAAAGAGGCGGAGTTAACGTTTCACTAACACAAAACTTTGGTTATTTTAAGACTAATAGACGTTCATTGTCTTATTTCTATTGTTACTGGTTTGAAAAAATAAAAAAAAAGACCGGCTGATCACGATAACACTAACTGTAAGAAAGGGGCGGGGTTAAAATCTCGTTAACATTAAAACTTCCGGGGGGGGGGGAATGGCCTAGTGGTCTAGGGTGTCGCGCTTCGACCTCTAGCTTGTGGTCCCTGGTGTGAGCGTAGGTGACTTGGAGATAGGGGGCGCTTTCACAACCTCGTGGGTTTACTCCGGGTACTCCGGTTTTCCTCCCACAGATAATAAAAATGAAAATAAGACAACTTATGCGATATCACCTACGGTGGAAGCGGACGTTAAAGTCTAAGAACAACAACACAACGAAACTACAGGCGTTCGGTTTTTTCTTTCTAAAGTTACGTGTGCAATGCTATAACGGGTGATAATATTTCTGCTTACTAATCTTCCAGTTCAAACTACAATGAGTTATTTTACGTGCACTACAAGTAATTCACGTGAGTTCAATATTTCGAAAGACTGGACTTGCCTTAGAAATCTTTTGGGATTATTTTTGGTGAAAGTATCAAAACCAAAAATAAAATTTCAGGGAATATTTAAAATACTAAGTGAAGTGCTTTACGGCGTTATCCCAATAAACATCAAACATTTTCAATTTACCTTTCTTTCCATTTATGTTTTTCTGATCTAGAGTGGCACTGATTAATATCTATCACCTAGCAATCTGTCTTAGTGAAAGTCACTCACTAAATTTAAATCTGTCTATTGCAGCAGGTATTTCTTTTGGCTTCAAATGTTATTTTAATTATCATTTAGACATTTATTCACATGCCAAGCCTCTGATCAACTCTCTAGAACATCGGATGGCCGAGATGTAAATAGATTTGAACACCCGCGAGATTTTAATATTTCACGCTATAAACTACCGTTGCTACGATAATAAACGATCTACGCTACAACTTCAAATGGTAATTTGAATAAAATTTTCAATATATTCATTTTTCATTATATTATATATAACAAGAACGGCCAGCTCTTTATCTAAATCGTGCATCATCCATCTTTAATGAGCAAGATAAGCAAATATGTAATTTTCAGACTGGTTTCTCAATTTCTATATGGAGCCTGGCAAGCAAACTAGTCCTTCGGGTGGGGTGACAAAAATGGCAAAAGCCGAGGTTCTGTTTTTACCATTGGCAGCGCATTAAACATTCCCTGACAGACGGGATCCGAAATATAGATAGGTCGTAAGGCTGCCAGTCACGGCAATATGACCCTAATAGCATTCGTCAAGGTGTAGGCCGGTTGGAGCATAAAAGTAAGACGTTTAACCCAATATCATTTAATTCCATTTCTCCATTAAAACCAGAGTGCATTATATAAACCTTACTTAAAAAAATAACAATCTTCAGTTAAGAAAGTAATTCAGAATATTCCTCAGATATCAGTTCTGGTTCTTAAGATAATGTCTTCATTGCTTTACAAAAAACATTAGCATTTTATCATCGTTTATCTAGCATTCGCATGCAACAATGTTTTTTTCGGGATTGGATAGGTTTTATTTTGATCAAGAGCACGCTAAACGTAGATAATAAAAAGACTATACTCACAAGACTTGCAGGATCTATTCTACACAATATAATGTATGTGTTACTGTACGGGTCTAAGATATCTGTTAAAATGCACTCAACTCGTCTTACGTGAACTTACATCCCGACTCAAGGCTTTTACTTAAAATTAATTTATAGATATATCTGTGGTAAGCAGTGTTAGCACGCGCCGTGTATGTATATATATATATGAGGCGTTGTTCTACCTATGTTGTTAACGAGAAGCAAACCACACATTTACTTTTATATGACAGTTTTAAGTAGAATAACAGATTATACTAATTTCCTGTATCCAAACTCTTTTTTTCAAAGGCTTACCTTTTTTATCTCTCAGAAAACCAGGTAGATGGGGCGAATAAAAGAGATTGGACTTTAAACGCCAACAGTATGAGTATTAAATTTAAAGGATTGGTAAGCCTTGGGGCGCAGACGGGTGGAACTGAGAAAACTGGATTTTTGTTTTAGTTACCCGATGTTGAAAGTCACCATATATTTCTATTTTACACAAAGCCGTCTTTATCATAAGTAAATGGTAGATAGGCTACAGTACCCAAGAGACAAATGAAATGAAATGGGGTTTAACGTCTTACTGTTCTGCTCCTACTGGGCTAATGAAGGCGGGCATACGCCATACAGTGTGCTATGAGGGAAATTTTACCCAGGCAGCGGCACTATGGCCTACTCTTATGTCGAATTCCAACTGCCAAGGGATCTTTATGTATATAGACTATAGACAGCTGTCCTTGTCAGACCTTCCGTCCTGCACCACTGACAAGTGGAAACAACGTTCGGAAATCTCGATGAACTTTCTCGGGAAATGCAGGGATCGAACACGCGACCTCCAGGCTAGCTAGCAAGTTAGTATACCTGATAATAACAAATAAAATAGTATATAAATACATGTACATAAGAAAAACAACCCAAAGATTTACACTAGCTGAGTGGTCCATCATGTAACATAGTAAAACTAATTCGCGATTGTTATAAAAAATGTTCCATACGAAAACAGGGAACCAAACAGATGTGTAACTGATGCTCTTTCACTCCGAATCACATGAACAAGGAATCGGGTATCGGATACCGGGTGAAACTGCATCACGGGACGTCAATTATTACAACAAAACGGAGAAATCAAAGAGAGAGAGAGAGAGAGAGAGAGAGAGAGAGATGGGGTTTAACGTCCACTCGACACAAACTAGGTCATTTTGGGACTAACATATGGTTTAATTTTATTTCAATAATATGGTTTAATTTTATTTCAATAATACGCTTGCGCGTAGGGTCTTTAGCAGTGGGAGGAAACCGGAGGACCCGGAGAAAACCCACGAGGATGGACAGGCGACCCTACTCCTTGTCACGTACAACCGGGGATTCGAAACCACGCCAGTTGACTCAATGACAGGTCTTATGATACAGCACGCACATGCTAACCATTCGGCCATCTAACCCCCCGAGAAATCAAAGAAAGGAAAATGTGCAGATGCCTATTTATGTTAAATTACATACCAGTTCATAAATGACGTATTTCTCAGAATGACTGTAGAAAATGTTTCAGATATGGTCATTAAAAAAAAGTCAATTTTCAGGTATAACCAGTTTCTTACAACTGCGAAATATCTCCTGTAAATTTACAATATTATATTATGATTACTACTTACTGCAAAATTTTAGAGGTTTTTCGGTAAAAGGATTTTAAGACGTTGACAGATTGTTCTATATTAGAAATAGCATCTTTTCAAATGTTTTTTTTTTTTTTTTTGATTGACACCACGCCCCTTTACATTTTATTTTTCATATTTAACTCAACAAAACGTTTTCACGTGGAACTGCTGCAACACCTCTCTCCCCTCCCCACCTTTCAAGTGCTGATCCAGGAACATCAAAATCTGTCAGATTTAACGTCAACTCAACACAAACTATGTCATTTTGGGACTAACATATAATTCAATTCTCTTTCAATAATTCGCTTGGGCGTACGGTACGGGAGAAACCCCACCAAGTTGGACAGGCGACCCTACTCCTTGTCACGTACAAGCGGAGGATCGAATTAACCACACCACTTGACTCAATGACAGACCCTACGATCTAACGAGCACGCGTTCAACCATTCAGCCCCGGCCCCTCTCGCTCTCATGAAAGTGACTTTTACCCATCTGATAAATTTTAAATAAGTATTTTGTTATTGTTACTTAGCTACTTTTATAAAATGGGAATATAGATCCGCGTTTACTCTTTAACCTACATTGTATTCCCCACCACAGTCCCTTTGCGAATATTATACGGTACGCAACTGGAATGTTCTAATCAATTTCAGCAGAATGTATCTTCTGAGTTATTCAACAGTTTCAAATTTCACTATTTTAAACATCTGCTACTTCTATTTTAAAATCCTATAAATCAGGAAGTCTTCAAGTTTTAGACAAAGCAAAACGTCTTATCTCTTGAAATGTCTTATATAGTACGTCTCTTAAATATCCGCAATACTATACGTTCATACTTGTACGTTTTGCTAGGTACATCAACTTCACCATCTAATCCTCTTTTGTATGAAAATCATTTTGTGACTTTTAGTAACCCAGAGAGGTATTCACTTTGCTATCACATTGATTGAAGATAGCTTGCCAGACAACGAAACACGCGCTGCGGCCGCTAAGTCGCCCGGATATTCCACAGGGGTTGTCAATTAATTTGTCTTTTGTCGACAATTAAAGCATTTGCATGACATCAAAAACTTTTTAGTAAAAGTAAAACTGATTAAAAGTAACAATCTATTAACTAATTAGCTGGTCCATGAATTAGCTGTTCAAGTTATGGGAAATCGCTGAAATCAATAGGATTCTTTTCCTCTCATGACCATAGAGACAGTGTATAAATACACAAGGCCGAAGGCAAACGTGAACACAGCGCGAGAAAATGTCCCAAAAATTACAGACTTGAAAAAGTCGAGTTCTCACAGCTTTCCAGGACAAATCGCATAACCTTGGCGTTTGCTTTGAGCATGCTCAAAATAAACGCCGTGACTCGGCGATCATTAGCGATTATGGCGATGTTGACGCGCTCTGAGACCATTTTCCGTCGCCGTGGCAGCGCAGTAAGGACGCCACCCAGGTTTGACGGTGGTATAAGCACCTTTAAAATATAAATACCGTGAGTTTGTCTAAAAATTCACTGCCGGTACTGTGAATACCGAAATTTCTGTATTGAAATTTGTCGCAGAAAACCACACAAATGCCTATTTAATGGACATGGGAAATGAGAAATAGATAAATAAAAGTTTAGGGTAGGCGATTCTGGATCTTTAGATTTGGTCCATGCTCTTAATTGGATGCTTTACAGACCAATACTGACTAAAAGATGAAAATGGTGTGTCATTTTATTGAGGTATAATCAATGAATTGGACATATTTTGGAAACAGGGTAGTATAAATCAAACAAAATGGTGATAAAATTAGAAAAAAAAACCTTTAATGTTAGAATGAATAATAACCAGTTTGACTGAATGTTGATGATAAACATGATATTATGTAAAATATAACACAACAAATATAACAAATGATACCATTTCACTGATTATTTACTGAGCCACAATAAAAACACACAACTTTTATAACTGGATGAGGGTAAATCTTGTTTGTAAGACGCCATCTTGCAATTCTAAGGGGAACAACATCTGGGCCCTGTTTCTCGAAATCTTAGCTAAAGATAAAATCCAAATTTTAGTAGATACTTCAATTTTGATTGGCTAAGCACTAAAATCAATCTAATATTATCCAACCAAATTACTAAAATTTGGATTTTATCTTAGTTAAAATTTCGCGAAACAGGCCCCAGATCACGATGATAGCACCTAAGAAAATTGAATTAAACAGAAAAGAAACGTTGAAACGAATTTATGGTACAGGCATGGGGTTAAAAATGTGGACATTAAGCAGATAAGGTCAGGACAACTTCTATAATTCTGTGGAAGACAATGATATGTGAATATTGACACCTGACTACAGAGAACCGCCATTGCATTAACTTTACGGCACGATTTCCAGAGCTAAAAGAAGAAGCATTACAAAGGGAGTGCAAAAAGATCTCATTGGCAGCCATTTAGAGACATATCTCGTCCATGTGGCATGTCTGACTACTAGGTGGACAAACAACTTAACGACTTTGATACCCTGATATTTTACCCCTTTTTTTGTACCAACTTTTCACTACAAAATAAAGGTGTTGTGGCCTCCTGTTGGTTGATTTTCTTGCGTCAGTAACTGTCCAGCCTAAATCATGCCAAAAATCACATTTCTGCTGCATTAATATTATGGCTTGCCTGAACTTCCAGTTAAATCAGTGGAGCATTTTCATTGGGTCTCAGTAAATACACCACAAACTTTCTTAACCAATTATTAAGCATTTAACACAATTACATGTATATACATTTTAATTGTATATCAATATCTAACACAGTATTGTCACAACGTATTTCATGCATATGACAGATATAAACATTTGTTTGAAGAAAATACAACATGTAGACACAACAATTTATAAATTTTCTAGACCAAGCTTATGGAGATTTAAACATGAATTACATAGTGAACTAAAGACAGAGTTTTTAATTAATATCAACAAAAGCATTATGCAGATAGGCTTCAGGCCCCGAGTTCACAAAGCATTCTCAGACTTAAGTTAAGAATTTACTCATCTTTCAATCACTGTTTATGAGAAATATCTTTGATCAAGAAGCACAAAACTTTGCACATAGTCCCTAATTGATGTATTTGACACATTAAAACAACAAAAGTTTTATCATGGGCTATATTTTAGTTAAAATAAGTAGAACAATTTTGAGTAAATTCTAAAATTAAGTCATAACCATAACCAGGGGGTCTAATGCAAATATGTCACCCGATTAGATTTTATTACATAGTTCGAGAAGGTATTTGTTGAGTAATAAAACCTTCTAGTAGTTTATCGAGGGCTGGCCGTCCTTACCGCACGGTACAAATAAAATCTTCTAGTAGTTTATCGAGGTTCGGGTGCTTCCGGAGTCCAAAATGGCCGCTTTATATACATGAGAATTTTGGGGATAACTAACCCGAACCCTAACCCTTTTTAAAAAACTGAACTTGGGTCTAATTTAGTTTTTACTTCTCTTAAAAGGGTTAGGGTTAGGGTTCGGGTTAGTATTCCCCTAAATACTCATTTGTATAAAGCAGCCATTTTGGTATGAGTTCTGGCTTGTTCTGGAATTTGTTGCTTCTAGTGGTGATAATATTTGTGCCATGTGGTAAGGACGGCCAGCCCTCGATAAACTACTAGAAGGTTTTATTACTCAACAAATACCTTCTCGAAGTATGTAATAAAATCTAATCGGGTGAATATGTATAGTTTTAGTCTTGATGATGTTTATTTCTTTTTGTTATGACTATATATTCCAAGAATCTCTTAAAGGCTCAATACCACTCTTGTTGTAACTGAATAATATGTCCCAATCTTTATTCTGGTCAACAAATTGTTCTATTTTACAATATTCCAATTAATTGATGATACAAATTTCATCTTAACACACCTAATTTAAAAAATTGGAAAAATTCAACTAAATGATTTGAAAAACCTGACGTAAAGCTTTTCAAATGTGACTTGGATTTAAAAATATTTTTGAACCCTCTGGACAAGTAAAATAGGATTTAATGGATAATTTACACAACAGGTAGGACACTAACACATCTAGTACTTAGAATAAGGCTATTTTATATTTTTTGGAGCTGTCAAGCCAGCAAGAGTGTTATTGTTCCTTTAAAACATTTGGAATAGTTTTAAAAAAATGAATTTGTTCATTTTATCCAAAATTTTCAATTTTATGTCATTATATCCCAAATGGTTTCATAACTGGGGTTTAACGTCCACTCGACACAAACTAGCTCATTTCAGGACTAACATATTGTTCAATTTTATTTCCATAATTCGCTTGCGCGTAGGGGTCTTTAGCAGTAGGAGGAACCCGAAGGACCCAGAGAAAACCCACGAGGCTGGACAGGCGACTCTACTCCTTGTCACATACAACCGGGGAATCAAAAGCACACCAGTTGCCTCAATGACAGACCTTGTGATAAAGCGCGCATGTGCTAATCATTCAGCCATAAAACCCCCCACACAATAATGAAAATTGCTAATCTACGTGTATTCACTGAAGCAACATGCCTGTATCCTGTATATATAATATATGTATAAGTAATAATTTACAATGATTATGATCAATATGACAGAAATATACAAATGACAAAAATTATAACAATAAAATACGTAATGATAATGTTGGATTTAATAAAAAAAAAAAAATATATACAAATTTATGAACGTCATAAATTAGTCGGAATTAAGACACCATATAAGAGTCATTTAAGTGTAGTTTTGGTTAATTGGCAAATAAATGAATGAATTATGAAAAGCGGTATAAATGATATGAATTGGTTATCTTCAGCAACAACTCCATAACATATGTAAAATATTTTAGTAGAACTCAGGGATGAATAATCATTGTGCATTATTTTGATACAAACATGAAACATATAAAAATAATTCTTAACAAAAACAAATAAAACATTATTGAAGCGTAACAAAGCGTAACTGTAATCATATGACGTGAAGCGTAACTTTACATCATATGACTTAAAGCATAACAAAGCGTAACTGTACATCATATGACTTAAAATGCAGCAAATGAAATGAAATGGGTTTTAACGTCCTACTGGAAATGCAACAAAGTGTAACTATACATCATATGACTTAAAGCGCAACAAAGCGTAACTGTACATCATATGACCTGAAGCATAACAAAGCGTAAATGTACATCATATGACTTGAAACATAACAAAGCGTAACTGTACATTATAAGACTTAAAGCTGTCTAACCTGTTAAATCACTAATGCATTTGATGCATTAATTTCTAGCTCACATTAATTTCTAGCTCACATTAATTTCTAACTCATATTAAATTCTAGCTCATATTAATTTCATGCTAGAATTAATTTCATGCTAGGATTAACTTCATGCTAGATTAATTTCTAGCTCACACTAATAACTTTCTAGAATAAAGTTTACGCTCACATTAATTTCTAGCTCTCATTAATTTCTTGCTAACAATAATTTCTTGGTACCAATAATTTCATGATAGCATTAATTTTCTTGTTGTACACCTACCCTATAAAGATGAAAACATACATGACTAAATCTGCCGGTCTTTCTGTTGGCTTCAATTGTTATATAAACTATCATTTAGACATTTATTCACATGACAAGCCTCTGATCAACTCTCTAGATCATCAGATAGCCGAGATTTCAATGGATTGGAATACCAGCGAGATTTATCGAAACTTAGTCTCGGTTGTCAAGTACCATGGCTATGATAATGAATGATTTAGGCTACATTTTCAAACAGTCATAACTTCGGCCAGAATAAATAACTTTGAACAAAATTTTCAATATATTCATTTTTCATTATCTATTTTCATTTAAACTATTATAGAAACAATGGTCAGCTTTTATCTAAATCGTACATAATCCATCTTTAATGACTGGTTGTAAAGGTACTGCCCCCTCTTCTAACAGATAGCAAATATTTCTACACAAAACATAGCACATTATTCCAATTCTGTGTTTTTCCTCATCCATCATAATCTCGTTTCTATAAATCTCAAAATCTCTCAAAGTTTGTTGCTGCCCTTGACTGTATTATTGACTGTGTATTCATACTGGTATTAATCTATGTATAAACTCTAGAAATGAATCACGCGATAGTTTATTTATATCTGTATGTTCCTGACTATCATGTACACAGACACCTTTCTCCCATTTCCAAAATAAACTCTTTAATTTACTGTCTCTACAAATAAATATATAAATCAATAATTAATAATAAAGAGAGAGAGAGAGAAATTGGGTTTAACGTCCACTCGACACAAACTAGGTCATTTCGGAACTAACATATGGTTTAATTTTATTTCAATAATTTGCTTGCGCGTAGGGGTCTTTTAGCAGTGGGAGGAAACCGGAGAAAACCCATGAGGTTGGATTATTAATAAAATAACAGAGTGCATTCTTCAATGTACTGTTATATCGGAGGAAAAAAAAGAGAGAGAGAAATGGGGTTTAACTCGATACAAACTATGTCATTTCGGAACTAACATATGGTTCAATTTTTATTTCAACAAGCCAACAGTGAGGCTGATGTCCCCCGCTGAAATCCCAAAATAAATAAAGTTATCGTGTCCCAAAGCATCAACCAATCAAATTGCTTATCTCTGCTTACCCTAAGCGGAAAATGCTCATCTTCGAACTCCATCAAGGCATTGACCTAATCAACACATACACCAAGTTTGAACATTCTAGCTCAATTAGGAAGAGAGTTATCGTGCCCCAAAGTATCAACCAATCAAATTGCTTATCTCTGCTTACCCTAAGCGGAAAATGCTCATCTTCGAACTCCATCAAGGCATTGACCTAATAAACACATACACCAAGTTTGAACATTCTAGCTCAATTAAAAGTTATCGTGTCCCAAAGCATCAACCAATCAAATTGCTTATCTCTGCTTACCCTAAGCGGAAAATGCTCATCTTCGAACTCCATCAAGGCACTGACCTAATCAACACATACACCAAGTTTGAACATTCTAGCCCAATTAGGAAGAGAGTTATCATGTCCCAAAGCATCAACCAATCAAATTGCTTATCTCTGCTTACCCTAAGCGGAAAATGCTCATCTTCGAACTCCATCAAGGCATTGACCTAATAAACACATACACCAAGTTTGAACATTCTAGCTCAATTAGGAAGAGAGTTATTGTGTCCCAAAAAGTGTGACGGACAGACAGACGGACAGACAGACGGACAGACAGACAGACGGACGAACCCATTTTAATAGTCCCCTGCTTTCTTCGAAAGGCAGGGGACAATAATTAACTTGCGTGCAGGGCTCTTTAGCACTGGGAGGAAACCAGAGGACCCTGAGAAAACCTGGGGAATCGAAACCACGCCAGTTGACTCAATGGCAGACTTTATGATACAGCTCACACACGCTAACCATCCACCCCCTCGAGGAAAAAGAGCACACCGTAAAAGCTATAATACTATTAGTACCCACTAGACTTTTTGTTCTTTAGGACAATAAAAGAGAAAACATCCATTTAGATCTCATACAGATGTTTGGGAATTCATATCTATGTGGAGTTTTAGTTTGATATACCAGACATGTGATTTGGATCATATAAATTTAATATTCTGACTTTTCTAGGATTTTGAAAGACCCAAGTTCATACCTCTTGACAGTAATCATTGGAAATTGTTGAAAATATTCTTTTTTGTCAAATGAACATATACTTTGTATAAATTTCAAATCAATCTGACGATAACTTTAGCCTCTAGAATGTTTAAACCAATGAAAGAAATAAATGAAATGAAACTGGGTTTAACGTCCTACTATGCTTCGACTTGGCTAATGAAAACGGACATACGCCATACAGTGTGCTATGAGGGGAATTATGTCCGGACATCGGCACTACAATCTACTCTTACATTGAAAACCAACACCAAGGGATCTGTAACGTACATGCCTATGTGTACATGTGACCTCGGTTTTTCATCCCATCCAAATGACTATATGTTGGCCCTTGCCAAGCCATCGGTCCTGCACCACTGACAAGGAGGAACCATGCCAGAAAATACAGATGAACTTTCTCGACCAACGCAGGGATCGAACTTGGGACTTCCAGGTTAGCGAGCCAATGTCTCACCCACAGAGCCACTCGAACGAAAAGACTGGGCAACAACAATATATAGAACCAAATTTCTATGTGGGCGTATAAAAACATTTTTATTACCTTGCAGTAGCAATGCTTTCTTTACGACAGTCATAAACAGCTTCCTTCGTATGAGTGTTGTACCAGTATTTTCTTTTACTGGATCTACTAATTGACATCATCCATGGTTCTGTAAATAACAAAAATTTTATTCAAAATGATGTGAATATTATTTAATATGAAGTTTACAAGATTTATAATCAAATGTAATGTTCATGGTGTCTGGACAAATAACAATCATCCTGTCCAACTCCGTGGGTTTTCTCTGGGTCCTCCCACTGCTAAAGACCCATACGACCAAGCAAATTATCGAAATAAAATTGAACCACATGTTAGTACCGAAATGACCCAGTTTTGTGTCGAGTGGACGTTAAACCCCATTTCTCTCTCTATCTTCCTTATGATAAATGCTGTATTCACAGACAATTCTGATTTTCAGCTAGGTTACATATAATTACATATGAGATAACATAAAATATAATATGAACATTAGCAGTTTTTAAAAAGTAGATACCACCAGGATGATAGTAGGTATTATCAATCAACTCACCTTTAACAGTTTTTAAAAAGTAGATACCACCGGGATGATAGTAGGTATTATCAATCAACTCACCTTTAACAGTTTTTAAGAAGTAGATACCACCAGGATGATAGTAGGTATTATCTGGTGTAAGAAAACACAATCTTGGCATACCCTGACTTCCTTTAACAACCTTCATATCTAATCTAAATATATAAATCATTTAATTTCAAATATACATATCCTCTAATACATGTACTTTTATTAACCAAATGCTTTTAAAATTAAGTAGCGGTGAAATGAACAATGATAATAAAACCTTTTCTCAGTTCAGGCCTCAGGCATCTATATTAATGTTGGTGGGGGGTGGGGGGGAAATGGCCGAAATGGGGTTTAATGTCCACTCGACACAAACTTGGTCATTTCGGGACTAACACATAGTTCAATTTTATTTTAATAATTCGCTTGTGTGTAGGGGTCTTCAGTAGTGGGAGGAAACCCGGAGGACCTGGAGAAAACCCATGAGGTTGGACAGGCGACCCTACTCCTTGTCTCGTACAACCGGGGATTCGAAACCACGCCAGTTGACTCAATGACAGGCTTTATGATACAGCGCGCACGTGCTAACCATTCGGCCATCCAACCCCCCCAAAACCGGAAGGAAATAAATAAAATGAAATGTGGTTTAACATCCTACTGTTCTGCTCTGACTGGGCTAATGAAGACGGGCATATGCCATACAGCGTGCTATGAGGGAAATTTTGTCCGGACAGTGGTGCTACGGCAAACTCTTAAAAAACGGAAGGGTTAGTACAACCTCATCTGACCAAAGTCACTCCCTGGATCAAGCTGCCATTATACCCCAAATTTCAGCCTCGGGCGAGCCCAGGTGTAGCCGCTAAACCAGAATAGACAAACAAACTAACGACAGTCCAAAATATATATATATTTAAATCTGACCTGTTAAAGACTTGATCAACTTCTTCTAGTTTATAATAATGTGATACAACTAAGGGAGATAAATCAGATCTACTTGGTTTCTGGACGGCTTTTACAAACTTCTTTAAACTCTCTAATCTACAAAAAAACAAAACAAATTTAAATACATAAATGTACATCACCAATGGTGAAACTAACAAATAACTTCAATAACAGGAAGGTCAAGCAATTTTACTTTAACTTTAAGGTATTTCATTTGTCATTACATGTCAGTACAATTTATGACATTGTGATGTTATTATGACAAGTTATTTCTTTGACAATGTTACATTGTTACCGACTGTTCATGCTACATGAATTTTATCTTGCACTATTCTAACAGTATCTTATTATTGAAATACAAGGTTAAAGTCTTTCTTCAAGGAAAAGAGAATTTGAAAATAAACGTGGATCGAGAATGAACATGCAATAATGCCTTTCCATCATATTTTGGACATATTTTGTGTAAAATCAAAAGTATTCTTAACCAAAAATAATGCCTTGTTTATGACAGAAAAGAAATGAAATGAAATGGGGTTTATTGTTAAATTGTTCTGTTCCGACTGGGCTAATGAAGATGCCATACAGTGTGCTAAGGGGAAATTTTGCCTGGACAATTGCGCTATGGCCTACTCTTGTATCAAATTCCATCTGCCAAGGGATCTTTTACGTGTACACGATACCTTGATTTTTCGTGCCATCCAAACAACTAGATAGCTGTACTTGTCAGACCCTCCGTCCTGCACTACTGACAAGGGAAATGTTTATGACAAGACAATTCATAGAGTCTGATGGGGTCGAATTTCAATATTTTACAAATAAACAAGCAAATTACAAATAATCACAAGTTACAATTACCTTTCTTTAAAATGTAGAGATCGCACATCTTTACCACATAAAAACAAAGCATCTAAAATGTGAATGGTTTTAATTCTTTTTTGACCTCTACCCTACAATAACAATATAATATAAATAAAACAGAGAGAGAGAGAGAGAGGGATGGGGTTTAATGTCAACTCGACACAAACTAGGTCATTTCGGGACTAACACATGGTTCAATTTTATTTCAATAATTTGCTTGCATGGAGGGGTCTTTAGCAGTGGGAGGAAACCAGAGGAACCGGAGAAAACCCTCGAGGTTGGACAGGTGACTCTACTCCTTATCACGTACAACTGGGGAATCAAAACCACGCCAGACCTTATGATGTAACATGCACGTACTAACCATTCGGCAATCCAACTGCCATAAATAAAATAAATAAAATATTACTTCTGTAAAATAATAACACAAGGATTATTCAATAAATATTTCTATTCTGTGTATTTTACTCTAAATGAGTTAACAATTTAATCGATTTTTACATACCTCTCCGCGTATTTCTTGTACTGTTTCAGCCTCTAGTAATGTTCGATATGGTAATTCTATTCTTTCTTCAACTTTTGTCCACTTACCTCTATCTAATTTAAATACATGTGATTTCTACAAAAAATATACAACAATATTTCAGATTTCTAAAAATATACAAAAATACAAAAAAATATACAAATACTAGCGATTTCTACAAACATATATAATAATTGAGATTCCAACCCCCAAAATATACTATTCTCCAACTTTAATTGTTATACTTTTATCTGAACTTTACTGTCATAGTCAAATTTCCTACTTTCAATTTAATTTTGTCTGATTGAATTGATCAAGTCGATTGAGTTCAAAGGTTAACTTACCCCTAGTCCTAGTAAATAATAGGTATTCTGATCACTTCTAACTGTACACATATAATCGTACACACTCTTTATATGACTTTTAGAAAACTCATCTAATAGATCTGGTGAATGATTTATATAATCATACGGATCATTCTGAAACAGAGAGAGAAAGGTGGTTTAAAGTTCACTCAAAACAAAATAGGTAATTTAGGTACTAACATATGGTACAATTCTATTTTAATTTTTTAACTTGGGAGTGGTTGGAAACTGGAGGTCTCAGAAAAACCCCACAAGGTTGAACGGGTAATCCTACTCCTTGTCACAAATACAAGCTTGGGATTAAAACCACACCACTTCACTCAATGACAGACCTTATAATCTAAAGTTCAAGCATTAGACCACTCAACCACCCAACCCTCACATTCTGAAACAACAAATATTACATATATATTATCTACCTTCCTGATTTTATATAAATATAAACACATCAATATCAAAATCCCTGCCCATGAAAAGGTAAACAGATTGACAAATAACATCTTATTGGCCATTATCGCAGGAACTTTTTCCTGTGGCTTTAGACTTCTTGTGGATCATTGCAGACATTTTATTTTAGTTGGGGGGGAAATATTTCTTAGCTGTGTACTTACATCCATTAAATCTGAGAATTTGCCTTCTGGATCTCTGTGATTAGGAGCTGCTCTAACTTCATCAGGTACCTAAAACAAATAGTTTGGTCTGTCAATAAATTGAAATTGGAATAAAGACAAGAGCATCGCTAACGCGGCAATATATGTCCACATTCCAGCTTTGATTGATATGGTACTTTTTAAAATGAAGAGAATGAAATATGAAATGGTTGTAATATGATCAGAGGCCAAGAAGGCTAGGCGTCGGGTTTGTTTTGCCAAATTTACAGACAAAATACTAACAATAAAGTGGGCTTGACACTACCCGACGAGGCCGGGGCAAGCATCAAAATAAATAGTTGCTGTCTTCATGGTATAAGGAATAAATATGCAAAATTCCAAGATGATCCATTCAGAATTGCAGCCTGTAGACGATAAATACAAAAACTGGGCGTGGCTCTGCCCATGGGGGTTGGATATGGAAACAATATAAATAGGTACCATCCTGTTATTGAAATGACAACATCAATAGTTGCCGTCCTTAGGGTATAAGGAATAAGTATACCAAGTTCCAAGATAATCCATTCAGAATTGTGGCCTTTGGGCGTTAAAGGCAAAAATTGGGCGTTGCTCTGCCCTTGGGCGTCGGGGCATTCACCAAAATCAATAGTTGATGCCCTTAGGCTATAAGGAATACATATGCCAATTACCAAGTTGATCCATTCAGAATTCCGGCCTGTAAACGATAAACATAAAAATTGGGCGTGGCTCTGCCCCTGGGGGTCGTGAAATGCAGTTGTCGTCCTTAGGCTATAAGGAAAACATATCCCAAGTTCAAAGACAATCCATTAAGAATCGAGGCCTGTAGGCAACTCACAGAGACACAAAGAACAAAATGGGTGTGGCTCTGCCCCTGGGGGTTGGGCAATCACCAAAAAAATAGAGGTCAGCCTTAGGGTATAACGTATAGGTATAAAAAAGTTTTTCGAGATGATTGATTAAGCATTGCAGGCTGTAAGTGACATACAGACACACAAAAAGAAAATGGGTGTGGCTCTGTCCCTGGGGGCTGGGCATTCACCACAAACAATAGGGATGTTCCTTAGGATAGAAGGAGTAAGTATGCAAAGTTTCAAGGTGATACGTTAAGAATTGCGGTCTGTAGATGACAAACAATGAATACAAGAAATGGGCGTGGCTCTGCCACTGGGGGTCGGGCATGCACCAAAAACAATAGGGATCATCCTTAGGGTATAAGGAATTCATATGAAATTTTTTCAAGAAAATCGATTAAGAATTTTGGCCTGAAGGCAACACACAGACACACAAAAAGAAAATGGGTGTGGCTCTGCCCATGGGGGCTGGGCATGCACCCCAAACGATTGGGACGTTCCTTAGGGTACAAAGAATAAGTATGCAAAGTTTCGAGATGATGCGTTAAGAAATGCGGCCTCTAGACGACAAACAAACAAATACAAGAAATGGGCGTGACTCTGCCCCTGGGGATCGGGCATGCACCAAAAACAATAGAGATCATCCTTAAGTTATAAGGAATAAGTATGTAAAGATTCAAGATGATAACTTAAGAATTGTGGCCTGTATGCGACACACAGACACACAAATATGGCACCAAAAAATCAGGAAATGCTGTAGCTAATTGTAATTGATAACAAATATTTCTTACAATGATTTTCAATACCAATTAATCTGTGGTATTTTTTTTTTATCAATTTTACACAGGAGTATTATGTAAAGTTCTTGAAGCTTGTTTCAATCTTTCCCTTTGATCAAACATTTTACATAGTGTCTAGTTATTCGCATGGGATGAAAAAACTGAGGTCCTGTATACATTTTAGCATAGATATAAAAGAACCTTTGACATTTTGAATTCGAAACAAGAGTAAAAATTTCTCTCACGTATGTCTGTCTTCGTTAGCCAGTTGGTGCAGAAAAATAGGATGTTAAACCCCATTTCAATAATCACCTACAGTTGAAATAAAAGCGTAGAAGAAAGAAACCTACCTGCCAATATCTTAAACAATCTTTACGTACAGTTGATTGTCTATTTTCATACAGATCCCTGTTTTAAATAAAATGATATAATTATATTTCAACAGCAATTTGATTAAAATACAGATCTATATTTCGTTTTTTTTTTACTTTCGATGGCCTCTACTACATGAAGATCTGACCGGTTGTAGTGGAAGGTCGCGTCAGATGTCATATGAGTGACTTTTGGCCCTATGAAGTCAGACATTCGATTAACCAATCAGCCTTGATGTTTCTAGTGGGTTACCGACAGTTTCATGCACATCACGCCAATAATTCGCCGTTTTATTGGCTAATGCCTCACATCATCCAGAACACAAGTTATATAACAACTCTTCCAGATCCTAGTGTAGTAAAGACAAGTAATTATAAAAAAAATAAACGAAATAGGATCTGTGTTTTAATCAGATTGGAATTAGAGCAATTATGAGATAAACAATTAAAAAAGATCAGATCATAATTGAAGAATCTAAGCGGAATTACTCTGCAAATTATAAGGTTTTTCCTTTCGTAATGAAAACATACTATCACATTAAAATGTAGGTGTAAAAAAAGTATTGTTATGTATTATTCATTTCATAATCAAAGATGGTTAATTGAATATTTCAAAACTCCATTTAACGTTCTATAAACATAAGTTAAAGTTTAACAAGAAGACTACGTCCAAACTGTTTTCATGCATACCCAAATTAAGTTTCATAAAGATCTCTTCAAAGAAATCTGGGAAATGCTCAGGATGGACAAATGGAAGTCATTTCAACATCCCTCCCTCAAGTTTGTTCGGTACACAATAAAATTTGTTAGCTATTTGAAAATCCAAAATAAATGAGATATATGTACCTAAAACAAAACCGAGGACAGAAGGACAGACTGACAGAGCCTATTTCAATATTCATTCCATGACTTTATTCGGCATGGGTTAATAAACTTATTGATATGCAGAGGCCATAGGAAGTAAGGTAATTCAAATAAAAAAAGTTCACATACTTATTTTGACAAAAAGCTTGGATTTTCTTTAAACCTATAATCTGTTTTCTACCAATACTGTAAAATAAAGACATAAAATTGTGAAAAATCTCCACAAAATAGAAGAATTCCTCTGTATAGCTATTTGGGAAACTATCAGGCTGAATTAGTTAAAGTTCTAGAAACAATGTTCACTATAACTTAAAGCTAAACTGTGAAAATAGTTTGGACCAGGATTTAAAGTGAACAAGTGATCAGTTCAAGTTACGTTACAGAGATGTCCTGTTACAATTTCAAGTAGCTAACACTCTTGTATTATCTTGACATTCGGTTATAAATTTGGCACTTGCTGTAAAGAATTTTGCCATTCCCAATGAAACTTTGCAGTAGATCAATGAATAAGTTGCTGCCGCACTAACAGGCTGTCTGGGGTTCGATCCCAGTGTTGGTCGAAAAAGTTCCCCAGGGATTGGTGCAGGACGGAGGTCCTGTATAGTGTCTAGTCATTCAGATGGTACAAAAAAACAAAGTCCCCTGTAAACATTTGTGAGCACATAAAAGAACTGTTGACAGTTGGAATTCGATATAAGAGTAGGCAGTAGGGCTGCTGTCTGGGCAAAATGTTCCTCATAGCACATGGTATGGTGTATGTCTGTCTTCATTATCCTTGTCGGTTCAGAAAAGTAGGACATTAAACCCCTTTTATTTCATTTTATTCTGCTATTAATTTATGCTTTGCTAGGCAATATTATCGAAATGCCTAATAAATTAGTAGTAACTGTTCACTTGCAGGTTTCTGAAAATGATATCTTAATATTTGTCAAATTATTAATCTAGACAACTTACTTTTCATTGGACACCCACATATAATCAAAGAAATCTGTGTCATCTTTCATAGTGTCGTGTGGGACTATTTCATTGACATCCTCCTTCGATGTAGAGACTAAATATTTACATAGATCGAGATTAATATGCTTCATATATTCACAGATATGTTCACTACCAGCACGTTTATTACGACAGACTATATACCTGAAAGATAAAGAAACAGAGAAGTCTTGTGAACAAAGTTTTATTTAAGATTTGAAACTAAAAGAAATTTGTTTCCTCACAGAGAAATAGTAAGCAAATATTTTAATAGAACGAAAATTCAAATAAGTGAGAAATGGGGTTTAACGTTCACTCGACACAAACTAGGTCATTTTGGGAATAATGTATGGTTCAATTTCATTTCAATAATTTGATTGCTCATAGGTATCTTTAGCTGTGGGAGGGAACCATAGGACCCAGAGAAAACTCCCGAGATTGGACAGACGACCCTACTCCTTGTCACGTACAACCGGAGATTCGAAACCACGCCAGTTGACTCAATGACAGGCTTTATGATACAGCACGCACATGCTAACCATTTGGCCATCCAACCCTATTCTAATAGAACGAAAATTCAAATAAGTGAGAAATGGGGTTTAACGTTCACTAGGTCATTTTGGGAATAATGTATGGTTCAGTTTCATTTCAATAATTTGATTGCTCAAAGGTATCTTTAGCTGTGGGAGGGAACCATAGGACCCAGAGAAAACCCACGAGGTTGGACAGGCAACTCTCTTGTCACGCACAAGCCGGGAATCGAAACCATGGTACTCATTGATAGATTCACTTCTTTATACCCACTAAGATGGTCTAAAAATTGATTGAAAAACTTTGTGCTATACTACACATTTATTTTCCATGTACCTCTTAGGAATGGTCGGTGCCACTGTGGATGAGAATTTCTATATGGATTCTTAAAAGACGTAAAAGATATCGTAGACAAAATGACTGTCCATTGATTTAGGGTGTTATTTACTCTTACGATATGTGACATCTATGATTAGTTTATTATAGATGATGTCGGCTCACATCAATGCGATTAAGATGCCCGACAAATGAGAAACTATGAGGTTTATAATCATTCTTATTGAATTGATGAATAGTCCGACAAAAGGAAAGCAATGACTTCTGTTTAAGATTAGATTGATGAATTGTCCGACAAAGGATTAAGTCAGTCAATCAAGGCAGATTAAGTAGTTAAATCAAGGTAGGTTTATACTATAGACGGTATAACACGATAAATACGTTGATCACTTAATTACCTAATAAACCCAGCGTATTATCGACGATAATCGGGTTGAGTGGTAGTTATACACTCAGTAAACTATATTAATTTCAGAATTTTGAATATTATTCACCATGTCTTGATGTCCGATTGGGCATATTCCCGGTCGGACAATTTTGGGCGTTTGGAAAAAAGATTCGGACAAGTCCGGAATATACGGGCAAAATCCCATCACTGGTTAAACCCCATTTCATTTCATTTCACTACTATCGGAATGTCCTGTCGCCATGGAGCCATGGTGGTTAAGTGAGTAAAACGCTGAAGGTCGCGGGTTGTGCTGGTGTTGGCCGAGAAAGTTCATCAGTATTCTCTGGCATGGTTTCTACTAATCAGTAATGCAGGACGGCGGACCTGACAAAGACAGCTGTCTAGTTGTTCGGATGGGGCTAGAAACTGATGTCCCATGTACACACTGGCATACTCGTAACTTATGCTACTTACCTTTCTGAATTAGCTGGTCTACTGGTTACAGGTTTAAATATAGAGACAGTATCAAACGCTAAATACATTAAATATACTAATCCCATACTAAACGGTGTAAACAGATCAAATAATTTACATACAAAATGGCCGTCTGAAAGAAAATAACAAAGACATTAGTCTATCAATTAAAATCTACTCTTAAAATTACACATCTTGTTCAAGAGATATACATACAAATATTATTAGCTGGAAACTTTGTAAATTTCTCCGAAAGCCAAACTGTGAGATCTTTGCAATTCAAATATGTGGCATAGATACGGTAATTGAGTTTAGTGGATGTTGGCATCATTTCATGTTTAATAAATATGAAATCTGGAGAATATTTTGCGAGAATCTTCAAGAATTCTTTGCAGAAATCAAGACTATAATTCTCCAAACCTTTCAAGCCAGTTGTACATATATATTCATCTGTTAAGTAAATCAGATGTTTTTTATTAAAACAATTCAAAGTTCAATATTGGATAATAAAAAGATTCATCTAAATGTATATACAGATGTAAAGTCATTCTTTAATGTTGGCGTACAATTATTTAAAAAAAAAAAACATGTCAATCGTACATTATTTATACGAGATAAAATATTGGACTTGTGTGATTATTTCATTGAGATGAACGTACAGTATAGTGTCTATATTTAAAGTTGTATCACCCGAGGGCTGTATCAATATATTACGCAATGTTTTTTATTGAAATGAAATGAAATGGGGTTTAATGTCCTACTGTTCTGCTCCAAACTGGGATAATGAAGAGGGGCATATGCCATACAGTGTGCTACGAGGGAAATTTTGCTCAGACAGCGGCACTATGGCCTACTCTTATATTGAATTCCAACTGTCAAGGGATCTTTTACATGCACGCCAATGTGTACACGGAACCTTTTCATCCCATCCGAATGACTAGACAGCTGTCCTCCACAAGCTATATGTAGAATGTATAATTATGTAGTATCTTACCTTCTCGAAGAATTGACAAGGCAACTAAACATTGACACAGATAAAGTTGTTTTGATAATATTTCTTGTATGTTTTCTTGTCCTTCAACAGAAAACCCCTAAATAAATAAAAACGATTATTATTTTCCATTCACTGGCTCTGAGAGACAGCTTTAACAAAAAAAACGATATATTATTTACACATTTACAGACTGGACATCATAATTTCAGGACACTTGAATACTGCTAGTATGTTTACATCCCAACAAGGAATGAAAAGATTGGTTGCCAGGCAAAAAAACCTATGCCAACAGCGAAGTTATCTAAACAGTTTTGAGCTAAACAAAAATTTCAAAAAGATCAGATCATAAAGCTGCTTTAAATTTTCTGTTTTAAAGAACTGAAATAAGTACATCTCTATATTCTTTTAAAAAAAACAACTTAAAACACATTTATTTAATCATGCTTTTAACTGACTATGTATACAATCATTAACATGTCCATAATCTTGTTGTTTATTTATGATTACATTGTCACTTTGTAAAGTGCTCCTGAACATGTTATATGAAAGGGTGCACTATAAATATGCTGTAATAATAATAATAATAATCAGTTGGCAGTTGACTATTTGTTTGACTGATAAAACTGAATCAATGAACTAAACCAAATGTCTCTTGTGTTTCATTTGGTTTACTTACTCCGTCAGCCATTACAAAATGGACACCCTTGCCGTCTGTATTATTAAGTACAAATTTAGTAAAAGCGTCCTGATTATCGGGGTTAAATATATCACCGTCACCATCGATTCCACCAACGCCTACAAATATAAATAATAAGTACTGTAAAACAAATTTCTGTGAAATCTTATTAAACTTTGAGTGAGAAACATTTTCAACAATATCTTTGATAGCAGTTAGTAGCCAAAATAGGATCATTTTTCACATCACATTTGCCACCTCTCAAACACTCCCTTAATTGTAATTTATCAATTCTTCCCTTATTCCTTTGATCTCTAAGGCTCTACTTATATAGTCATGGAATGTAGACTATATCCAAACTATAGGGGAGAGAGAGAGAGAGAGAGAGAGAGAGAGAGAGAGAGAGAGTACACTCAGAACAAACCAGGTCATTTCGGGACTAACATATGTTACAATTTTACTTCAATAGTTTGCTTTCGCATAGAGGTCTTAGATGTGAGGGGAAACTGGAGGACCATGAGAAAGCCCTTGGGGTTGGACTCCTTGTAGGATCGAAACCATGCCACTTGACTTAATGACAGATCTTATGTTCTAAAGCAGACATGTTACACCATTCAGCCATTCCACCCTGTTCTTTTCTGCACTGACTGAGCTAATGAAGGCAGCCATACACCAGACAGAGTGCTGTGAGGGAAATTTTGTCTGGAAAGCAATTGAATTCCAACTTTCAAGAATTCATTATGTACACAGCAGGGAGTACATGGGATCTCAGTTCTCCTTCCTGTCTAAACAACTAGGTGCTGCTTCTTGCTAGTCCTTCCATCCTGCATTACCAACAAGGGGAAACGACTCTGGAAAATCAGGTGCGACTTTCTCAGCCAACACTGGGATAGAACTCCAGACCTCCTGATTTGTGACCCAGGGCCTGATCACTGAGTCACCATTTCTCCCCAAACTAGAGGGAGAACTATAAAAGAGAAAGTGTCTAAAAGAATGAAGTTTGAGAAGAAAATTGGATTTTTATTTTTGTTCAGTATAACTACCTGTACATGAGTAACAGGGACATGGAATCCTATTCTCTTTTAAATCTAAAAATACTACAGTTACAAGACAACATCGCTTTGGTAATGCAAATCAAACAACTAATTAATATCTTTACCATAAAATGGTTCAAACATTTCACCAGGGCCAGCAAAAAAATCTTCCAGTTTGAAGTCATTTTGACCTTTCAAGGTCATTCCAAAGCCTTTACTATCTCCCTTCTTCCTCCAGAGAACATATTCACTAAAACCACCTGGTCCAGCACATATATCAGCAAAGTATAATATCTCATTAGGTGCAACTAGGTTTTTCTGAAATGTATATGAAATTGTGAGAATAGTTTTCTGAAATTACAATCAAAGTTCAAATGGAATTAGTACAAAAAAACGTAAACTGTGTGGGTTTCTAACTGTTAGAACCACATACAAATATCTTAATGTCTATAATATTTCTAACCCTTAATCAAAAGCAAAAAATAAGAAATAAACTGATTCTAGACAAAAAGACTGATTTGATAACAGTTAAATAACAAGTATCTGGCATCAGGAAAATAATTAAAACGGCTCTGAAAAGAAATCAATGACATAGTCTAACTTACACCATATGGATCTTTAGGAGTTGTAAACATAAAATCTAACACAGCATCCATGTTAGCCATCTTCATTGCTGCTCTGTAACAAAACATATTAAGATCATACATATAAAAATAAAAATACTATGGTCCTCATCAAATGATGTGATATTTTTGAGAACTTAATTAACCTAGTGATCCTTTGAATAAAAACAAATAAATAAAAATCGAATCATGTTTTTTTTTAAGAAGGATTTTCGTATATTTTTTTGTATGGCCTAAATAGACAATGGATATTGTGATATTCTATTAGTCTCTAGTATATGATTCAATTTTATTTCAATAATTCACAAGCACCTAGGGGTCTTAAGCAGTGGGAGCAAACCAGACGCTCATAATCCTTGTCATGCACAAGCAGGGGGTGGGGGATCGAAACCACACCACCTGACTCAATGACAGACCTTATGATCAAATGTGCACCATTTGGCAACCCACCATCCCAACAAATCCTTACAGATCCTAGGAAGCAGACATTTTCTTTTTAAGGTGTCAATTGATACTAAATAATGAATGAATGAAATGGCGTTTAACTTCGTACTTTTCTGCATAAACCAGGCTCTGATACTATATACTATCTGGCTTGTAAACCAAACCAGAACAACTCAACAAGAGGTGACAAGACTATTATACAGACAATAGTAACCAAATTAAACCAATTTATATTATCATATATACCTGTTGAGAAAGAAAACCCCTCGAATTGTTTCATAGGGATTAGATCTCGTTCTCGCTCGTCTCATTTCTTCTGGATCACAAATATCAAACACATTCTGAAATACATTATTCAGATAGTTAAATAATCTAGCGAAAGGAGGATTCAGAAAAAACATACAGAAAAATGACGTCTTCGACACATGTTTAAAATTATCCCTCTTATCATCTGTGCCAAGGACAAATGCCATAAAATCTGAAATGCCTTGAGGAGAGAGAGAGAGAAATGGGGTTTAACGTCCACTCGACACAAACTAGGTCGGGATTAACATATGGTTTAATTTTATTTACATAATTCTCTTGTGCGTAGGGGGTCTTTAGCAGTGGGAGGAAACCGGAGGCCCCGGGGAGAAAACCCACGAGGTTGGACAGGCGACCCGACTCCTTGTCACGTACAACAGGGGATTTGAAACCACGCCAGTCGACTCAATGACAGACTTTATGATACAGCGCGCGCACGCTAACCCTTCAGCCATCCAACCCCCCGAAATGCCTTGAGGACATTTTATACTAGTAAACATCTTTAGGTCTTGATTAATGTATCTTTAATCATAATTTTCCCAGTATGAGAGTTAATTGTCATTCTGGAAAATGATCATTCAATAAACTATTTTACATCACGTAGAAATCAAATACTAATGGGGGTTGTGATTAACACGCTACAAACAAAATATACCAATCAAAATAATTTTATTACCTTTGATTTTAATATTCCCTGTAATGTTCTTTCAGAAATATATTTCGTTTCATCATCTATTGATCTTTTTTTCTGTAAAAATCCAAGAAAAAAAAATACAAATGAAATGAAATGAAATGGGGTTTAACGTCCTACTGTTCTGCCCGGACAGCGGCACTACGGCCTACTCTTATATCGAATTCCAACTGCCAAAGGATCTTTTACGTGCACGCCAATGTGTACACGGGACCTCGGTTTTCCGTCCCATCCGAACGACTAGACAGCTTTCCTTGTCAGCCCCTCCGTCCTGCATCACTGACAAGGGAGAACCACGCCGGAAAATCTGGATGAACTTTCTCGGCCAATGCAGGGATCGAACACCCGACCTACAGGCTAGCGAGCCAGCGTCTTACCCACTTAGCCACGTGATCCAAAAAAAAAAAAAAAAAAAAAAAAAAATTGGGCCCGGACAGTAGCGCTACAGTCTAGCCTATTATCAAATTCTAACTGCCAAGGGATTTTTTACATGCACGCCAATGTGTACAAGGGAGCTTGGTTTTTCGTCCCATCCTAACTACTAGACAGCTGTCCTTGTCAGGCCCTACGTCCTGAATCACTGACAAGGAAGGAACCACTCCTGAAAATCTGGATGAACTTTCTCGGCCAATGCAGGGATCGAACACCCGACCTCCAGGCTAGCGAGCCAGCATCTTACCCAATTAGCCACCGTGACCCCCCATATATTATGTTTATACTTGAGTTAATAGAAAATAAAATGGAAAATAAAAGAAAATATTGAAATTGTACTCACTTTACCAATAACTTTCCATTGTATCATTTCATCTAGAGTAGGAATAGGCAGAGTACATTTAGGTAACCAATCAACTGTTTCTTCTATTATCAACTAAAGTTATAAATAGATAATAAGCCAGAGGAAAACGATTGTGTAATAATGATTATGATATGTACAAGATTATGCACTGCGCTTACATTTTTCAATTTAAATGTTTCTTCAAAGGTCAAAAGATTAAGATTCAGAACTTTAGAAATATACCTCCTCTAGATCAAAGTTCCATTCAACATCTTCAGCTTCTAATCCTTCTAAAAATAGACCCAAACCTCTTCTTCCTTTCTGTTTGGAGGCTTCTACAATCTCCACTCTACCTTGGCCATGTTTACCTAAACCTTTACCAGCTTGATAACCCATCTTAGCCTAAAATCATAAAATATTAAACTTATTGTAACTTTCGTCATGCATTATTAAATATATATTATGTAAGCTTAAAATAAAGAGTTGACCTTCTTGAACTTATTCCCATAATAGTTCAAAAATAGATACTGAAAAATGAATATATTGAAAATTTCATTCGAATTACTTTATTCTGAGCAAAGTTATGACTGTCTGAAGATGCAGCGTAGATTGTTTATTATCGTACCACAGTACTTAACAATCAAGGCGAAGTCTTGACTATCCATTTTATCTCTGAATTTTGAAATATTTTGGGCGATTTAATACAATTAAATCTCAGCCATCTGATGGCATGATAACAACAGAGCATAAATATATAATGAAAGATACAATTAAAAATTTCATCTTACCATCATTTTACCAACAGCGTCATTCATCTGTACAGGTTGTTTTGGTCCTGTATTCACTTTGATAAATTTAGCTGCTGGTTCACCTTCACTTTCACTCGTGCCTGTTGTTTCACTTCCTGTAGTACTACTACTTCCAACACTTGATGCATCACCCATAGCATGACCTTTAGTAACAAACTTCATTTCACTTCCCATCTTTTGTGTTGGTTGATGAAAACTTGGTCTCTCATCCTCGGAGGAATCTGAAACATAAATTGACAAAAAAAAAACATTGTATAATAATGTTATTTCCCCTATATACGAGCGTAATTTAGAATTTATAATCTCAAATTTTACTGTACAATGAGAAAAATTAATAAATGAAAGTAAATGGTTTGTTTACAAAGAAAATATAATAATTCAAATGATAACTTTTCATTAGTTTTTGATAACTTTCTTTCCCATTATTAACTACTAGGTAAGACTTTAGCGTGGCCATGTAATCTAAAGGAGTCATTAAGTACACAGGGAGCTGTGGTGGTTCAGTGAGTAAGAATCTGGTCAGCTAACCTGGAGGTGCCGTGTTCGATCCTTGTGTTTGCCGAGAAAATTCATTGTGATTTTCCAAAGTGGTTCCGCATGTAGGGGTGATGATTTTCCGTGATCGCGGAAAAAACGCGGAAATCGCGAAATTGTCCACTCAAAACGGAATTTGAAATCTCACACGGAAAAAGACGGAAAAGCCGATATTTGCTGATACTAAACACAAACTCAAAATAGTTTTGCAGTTATCCAAGTATTTTATCTTTTTATTCATAAAAATCGGAAATATTGAATGATATCGCGTGGTTTTGTTACTGTCTATTTTAGTATTTCGCTACTTTCATTTCATCATTTAGGAATCATAATTTTAATCGAAACGAAAACCCGTCTTTCATGTATCCCATTATAAAATTACTCTGTAGTTTAACTTGAATTAAACATTGTAATGTATATATATGTCTTTAAAAAAACTTCTGTCACTTCATAAAAGTAAAAATCGTTTCATTTACTTCTTATTTTACTGCCGGGCTCGTGACTCGTGTTTATCCGCATTAACCACGTGACATCAGAAATATACCGTAGCCTTGTGAATCCAGCCCTTATTCTCGAAGAAACGGTAGTAACTACGAAGATGTCTGGATAAATCGCGACTACACCTAGCAGCTGAGAAACATGACTTCGTCTGCTAAAAAGATGAAACGAGCTCACAAGATGTAATTTTCTGTTATTTAATTCGGGAAACAGGTTTAAAGAATAACTAGTCATTGAACATTACAAGTCATTCACAATTCAACATTTGTTATCATTGGTTTAAAATGATCCGTTTTGTAATAAAAGGCATTTTAAGATGTTTTATTCATTTATTCATAAAATAACATTTTATCTCGAAAAAACGGAATATGGTCAGCTCTGAAACGGAAAATAACGGAATTAAAAATACTTAAAACGGAATTTGCTATTTTCTGAAACGGAAAATCATCACCCCTACGCATGTAAAAGAAACCTTTTCAGTTTAAATAAGAAATAAGATGTAGGCCATAACACTGCTGTCCAGGCATTATTTCCCTCATAGCAGACTGTATGTCATGTATGTCTTCATTAGCCCAGTCGGTGCAGAAAAGTAGGACGTTATACCCCATTTCGTTTTATTTTGTACATTCGTGTATGCAACAATCAGAATTTTTGAGTAATCTCTTTAAAAGTTACCTGAAAAACTCTTTTGTACAGATCCAGATGTTTCTATAACCTCTGTTCCACCTTGTTCAAAGTATCCGGCATTGTAATTCATCTAAATAGTAAAATTACCATTAAAACAATATTGTTATTGATAAAATCAAGCTGAGCAAAAATAAATTTATATATATACTCGCCAAAAGACATGGTAACTGATATATAATGCCAATCGCAATAAAAAAAAAAGCTGTTCTAATTTAACAATCGACACAGATCAGATTGTGATCAAAAACTTTTCAATCAACTCTTTGTTTCATCCCTCAGATGCAAGTGTCTCTATTAAATGGTAAATTCTTATATACAAAGTGAGGAAATGGTTAATTTGCTATAAGTTGGACGAGCTTGGATTTCTAATAACTAGTCTCAGGTTTTTCTATTTTAATAATCCCCTCACAATAGCAGTACAAAATCAGACTTCGGTTGAAATGAGAGGTAGTTTATTCATCTTCATCACGTTTTGGGTTAAAAGACCCTTTAACTCTGTTTTTGTACTGCTGCTGTGTGGGGATTTTTAATTATCTATTACGTCTGCTCTCTCTGCCAGCATCCGTGGTTTGATCCAGCAGCTACACAGATCTACCAGCCTTAGTCTGCTACTCTTTTAAAGGAGTGTTGCCGTTCCTTCTTTCCCCTGGATTTCTCTTTTACAACGTAATTTTTAATAGTACCACTGTCCCTCTAAATAATGAAAAAGATCTAAAACAATCTCCGAGCTCACCATAATATCATGTTTCCTTTTATAAGGTTTGTTTTTCATAATTTTGGATGGAGGCCTACTAAAACTTGGTTTCTCATCTTCTTCTGAATCTAAAACAAGAGAGCAAACAAACATATTATTATTAACTTGGGGAAAAAAGCTTAAAGATATACTTCTTTCACAAATGTGATAGTAATTATATTTATATTATTAAAAAGCGTATTTTGTCATAAATGCAAAATCTTGAATTTCAGATGAACTTTTTAGGAACAGTTACTGATTGAGTGGTCTTTAAAATACTGTGCAGATGCACTGTGTAACACATTAGGTTATTCTGTCTTTCATATTTATCATACCATATCACATGAGTGGTTTCTGACTCAATCAAAATTGGAGTAGTCATAATAATAACCTGTTATTATCATTACCCAATTCTGCCTTAGGGATTTTTAGGAGTCATGTCTTAACCAGGTGAAGATATTTTGTAATCAGTTGTTTTGACTACTTGGATTGTAAGTAAATATACAAATACAATTTATGATCAACAAAGATTTATAATTTGTAGTCTTAAAGAAAAAATCAAAATTTTTTATGTGCAGACTACAGGTTCCAATTCACAGTTAACTGCCTGTTCTTCTGCATAATACCAGATATATACCACAATGGTAATGTTATCCGGTTTGTGTCGTGTGGCTTTTGAATATAGGTAAATTTTGATATAATCAAGATCTAATGATTAGGCAAATACTTTTTTAGAAATTGTTATAGGGAGAGAAATGGGGCTTAACATCTACTCAACACAAACTAGTTTATTTTGGGACTAACATATGGTACAATTCATTTTCAATAACTTGCTTGCTCATACATGTAGGGGTCTTTTAGTAGACTATAGTGGAAGAGGAAATTGGAGGGAGAGAGAGAGAGAGATGGGGTTTATCGTCCACTCGACACAAACCAGGTCATTTCGGGACTAACATAATATGGTTCAATTTTATTTCCATAAGGACCCGGAGAAAACCGATGAGGTTGGACAGGCGACCCTACTCCTTGTCACGTACAACCAGGGACTCGAAACCACGCCAGTTGACTCAATGACAGACTTTATGATACAGTGTGCATGTGCTAACCATTCAGCCATTCAACCCCCCGGAAATTGGAGCACTCATGGAAAACCCACACAGATAAGCAGGAAACCCTACTGTTACTCTTTGTCATTTGCAAGTCTGGGATGGAAATCACACCACTTAAATAAATAACAGGCTATATGATCTTAAGTTTTAGACCATTCGGCCAACTCCTGAGATATTGCTATTGCTATAAACTGTAAATAACAAATTAAGCATACAGGTGAATCTGCTTGGTTTTTATTCTGACTTACAAGGGAAACTTAAAAATAATAAGTAAATAGGTACTAGCGAATTAAAAATAAAGGCCTAGTGTACGTTGACCCAGCTACTTTTGACTTCCACTACTAACCCTAACCCTAAGTAGCCGGATCAACATACAAAATAAAATAGTTAAAAGAATGTAAAGTGATTGTGAATTTTACTTCAGATTTGTTTAAGATTCATAGTGTGTAAATAAATGTTTCATGAAATTGCGCCAATGAAAATAGTGAACTTGACATCAAAGGGGTTGCAAATAGAAGACAATTATGGGCATGACACCTGTTCAAGAAGGTGTTATTTCTATGTTCAGTTAATATATAACCTGATAATGTGCCGTGAGATGTCATTTTATTCATTATTTTCTGTTTTCTTGCAAGATTTTCATGTCAGCAACCGAAACCGGAAATATTGATCTTTTTAGTCTTTTTGTATTGGAAAGTCGAGAATTAGGAGAGTTACCTCCCATTAAACATTATTTTAATTAAAATAATGATTATCTGTAAATAGAAGTGCAGATTTTTATTACTTATTCAAATTGAAAGACAATTTTCCAAATATTTAGCTTCTAAACATTATTTTTGGATAAAAGTTAAATACTTAACTATGTCTACGTGAATCAACTTCCGGTAACAGTCGGTCGTGTTTTGCGGTTTTCAGAAAGGAGAACCAAGAAATCAGGTATCTAATTAAATAAAAAGCAAGAATATGAAATCATTTAATAAATAATCTGTCATATCGTTGTCATTTCATATCATTTGATGTGCGACTCAGCTGGTCTACAAATGAGATTTGTGCATGTGATCTTTACCTTATTGCAATTCACGTCCTTAGCCCTTAGGTATTCAAGTTCCTCCATGCATCTGATTTTAGAAATAACAAGTCCTGTGTGCTACACCATAGATAATACGGTATTAGCTAGTGTTGCACCTCATGTAAGATTGATATAGGATAATTTTAAAAACTTAAAATTACTAGGTTAAATGTATTCTCACAAATTAAACAGATCCAGCCTACAAACTGACACTGCAAGTACCGGTATATGATTGATTGATTGATTAAGTTAGAGTAATTGGCCGTATAAGTATAAGGTTCTTTGTTAATCAAGCAGTGTTCTTCAATGGAAATTCATGCATTATTAGGCTGCATAAATCATGTGCCAACCATAGACATAGGCTACTATCATTAGTATCAAGTATTTCTATACCCATTTTCCATTGGTCTATTGACCTTGTTACTAGGGAGCAGATGCTGGTTCTCTTATCCTGGAAGTCACCTATTGGACCCCTGCATTGGCCGTGAAAGTTCATAAGGATTTTCCAACGTGGTTTTCCCATGTCAGTGGTGCAGAGTGGAGGACCTGACAAGGACAGCTGTCTAGTCGTTTGGATGGGATGAAAAACCAAGGTCCCATTTACACATTGGCGTGCAGTTGGAATTCGATATAAAAGTAGGTCATAGCGCCGCTGCCCAGGCAAAATTTCCCTCATAGCACACTGTATGGCTTATGCCTGTCTTCATTAGCCCAGTTGGAGCAGAACAGTAGGACGTTAAACTCTATTTCATTTCTGTTACTTTATCTGGTTTCCTATTTATGTATAAATACAACCCAACTCTCACCCCAGATATTTACATATTTTTATCATCAATCTATAACAATTAATTATGTGTCTATTTAACAGTAAATAATTAATTACGTGTTTATTTAACAATAAGTAAGTGTTTAACAGTTTATTTAACGATAAGTTGGAAGTATAACTCAGTTAATTACCTGCTAATACAATAACAAGGGGGATGAAACAGCTTGAGAAAAAAATAACTTGGGATGAATAAGCTCGGGGTGATATTGTCATGGGATGAACCGACCCGCATCCGACCTGTTAAATGTTCCTTAATTAATGTTTTATGGGATTATTGGAAAGGCTTGAAATAATTGGTAATATTAATGTTACTTTATTCTTGGTATATGTTTTTTTTAGGATGACCGTTGGTGGAAAGTATCGCCCACGATGTTTCTTTGATATTGAGATTGGAGGAAAGTCAGGTAAGCATTGAAATCAAAATATTTGTGTTGCTATCATGTATCTTTGAAAACCAGTACCGGTACCTTACAATTTATTCTTATCCGGTTTCATGTGAATCTTTATATACCGGTACGTCTTCATTAAAATATTGTTGTATTGTTGTCAAACAATACTGTCATCCATAGGTGCTTGTTAACGTTAATCATGCAATTGACTTGAATTTATACACAATTTTTATATGCATTAGATAAAGAATCCTATTGATTTTCAATAATTTCCAATAATTAGCTGGAGTTATGACCTTTGGTCAATTTGAAAAATCTTGTGGACAGATTAGTAGCTATTGTTGTTATCCCATTGGTTTGAAATGTATACACAGAAAGAACTAAAATAGAAGTAAAAGGTTGTTACTCTTGATCAATTTTAAGATTCTTGTGATTGTTCCCTTTATCTACAAAAGAATAAAGCCTTGTGAATGACTTGGACGATTTATTTGCTGTGGGCGTATGTTTCATTGCCTAGCAACCTATCTTTAACCATATTGGTCCGTATATTGTTTACATGCACTTTGGATGATACTGTATTGATAAACATTTTTTTGTTTGTTTTACAGCGGGGAGAATAATCTTTGAACTTTTCTCAGAAGAATGTCCTAAGACATGTGAAAACTTCCGATCCTTATGTACGGGTGAGTAGTTTAAGATAAATAATCATGCCAAAAGATATTTCCTTTAGAAATTTTTACAGTGATAAGAAAATGAAGCAGCATTTAAAGACTGTTGTATTTGTAATGAATTAGAATTAATTAATTTACTATATATATTTGGAATTACAGGTGAAAAGGGCATATCTGAGAAAAGTAATAAACCTCTCCATTATAAAGGATCCCCAGTTCATCGTATAGTGAAAGACTTCATGATACAAGGTGGAGATTTCACTAAAGGTAAGTCTGCAAAATTTTTATTGAGACTGTAGTCAGGAAAATGTATTTTCAAGTCCAGTTCCCACTTGCTGTATGAAATTCACAATAATGACTCTACAAAATGGAGATATTAAACGCCATTCAGATATTCAGATATTTATCTCAGAAATTGAACTCTGTGGTATTTTTGTGGTAAACTATTTAATAGCATAATTCTCTTTATCTTTGGGTGTCTATATTTGTACTGTTTATGTATTACAGGCGATGGAACTGGTGGTGAATCAATTTATGGAGAGATGTTTCAAGGTAATATATACAAAATTTTGGGGACACCCCACAACCCACCCGTTTATGTCAAAAATTAACATTTGTACTGATTATTTGTGCGTTTATAAAGTGACAAACTATACAAATGGGTTACTTTCAAATTATCATTTGATGGTAGATAAAAAACGTTTATAATCTCCAAAAATCGTGTATTTGCTACTATCGTGTATTTGAATGTTGACCGTGTAATTGACCAGGTATTTTCCTTAAGAGGTGAGTATCAATCAACGTCCTGTTTATCTACGGTATTTATTTATTAGATGAGCAGTATAATTTGCCGAGAGGTGTGTATCAATCAACGTCCTGTTTATTTATCTACAGCATTTACCTATTAGATGAACCGTTTAAATTTCCCAGGATGTGTTTAGCCAATCTGTTTAATTGTTGGAAAGATTGAATTTAGTCACGAACGTTTCATTTTTTTATTGCACAAACAAGGATATCTAGCTTATATTTTGCTTCTTTGCCAACTTGCGTAGGACATTTCCATCATATTGAAATAGCATCCATGCAAGAACAATCTGTGTAGTGGTTCAGACTGTCTGAGGTAAACTAGAATTCACTTTCTTGGCAAGCTTGACCCTTTAGAAAATACTGAAATATTCCAGTACTGAGGGAATGTGAACACAAGATTAATATGAACACAACTGAATTGGAACTGATCATTATGTAAAATATTATAATTTTTATTTTTTCAGATGAAAATTTCATCTTGAAACATGACAAAGAATTTCTCCTCTCAATGGCTAATCGTGGCATAAACACTAACGGTTCCCAATTTTTCATGTAAGTTTCATTTCGATAATCTGTTTTATTAATAAAAAAAAGTTTCTTTTTTGTCTCTAGGTTTTACAGTAAAATTGTACAATAATGGTAATTATATATAAAATGATGTTAATAATTGTTATTTTACTAAAAAATAGTGCACACATTATTATTGTACAATAATATAAACTGGATGATATTAATAGCAAAGATCTAAAAATGAATGAAATGTTTCCAAACTGTTTATTTTACTTTACATGGTACATTTCCTTCAAGTGCCATGTCACTATGCATTATGGCTCTGGGCCCCATTGCACAAAGCACACATAGTACTTAAAGCCACACAGTTCAAACACTTAAAAAACCTAATACTACAAGTACAACTAAATATAATATATAACTTATTGTATGCTTCGTACATAGGGGCCCTGTTTGTCAAGGACAAAGCCCACTTTTCAAAAATTGTAAACACTTTATAAATTTTAATAGCTGTCCTAAGATAACAAGAATTGGACACTAATTTAGATAAGAATTGATTATTTTTATTACTAATCATTGGGACTTTCTCTTGATCTCTAAGCCGCTGTTGTCATAGTTTTAATATTTTTTATTTATCCATCTTGATATGACTCTTGCAAAAGGTCAAGGGCGAGTCCTGATCATGTGCTGGTCGTTAAAGACAGTAATGTCATATATGTAGGATAAACCAGTAAACGAAATCCATATTTGACGTTGGCTGAAGCAGTTTATTCTATTTTCTATATTTTTTATATGTATACAGAGACAAAGTGTGATGGGATCACTATGGAAACAGGTAAAAACAAAACAAGGAACCTTTAAAAATTAAAAACAAAAGTAGGATACATGTAGCATCTTAGCTGATTGAAATACAGGCAATATTTGAATGAAATGTCTTTAAAGTTCCTATTCCAGTTGAAAGAATCATCGTTATGCAGTTAATAAGATTGATCAGCTACGTGTAAATATCAGCTCAAGAGTTAATAGATTTCAAAATTATAAAAATGATCATTTAAATGCTTGCTATTTTTAAGTACATATGGGTTCAACAAGAGTATTAAGGTTCAGAATTTATCAGATATATCAGATTGAAAACAAGTTAAGATGTAGATTTCATTGCTTATCTTAAAATATTCATGTAATCAAGATCTGTAGTAGATAATGCAAGACAATTGTACAACAAAACACATTTTAATTTTAAAGAATACATCATCACTTCATATTGTTTTCTCATGATGGATAGTAATCCGTATTTTTCTCTGTCAACCTGTTTTTCTGATAAATTCTAAGAACCTTTTAGTAGTACTGTTGTTCATTAATGTACTTTTCTGAAGAAAAAAAAAGAAGATAGGACCACATTTGATAAATGGAAAATGTTTTTATATCATTATTTTTAGACACACCTATGTCAAAGAATATTATTGAATTACAAAATTTAACAGACTTATCGAAATGTGTTCCTTTTTGTTTTAAAAATGTTTGACAAATTTAAGTTACTCACACATCTAGGGAAAATGAGTTACATTCTTTTATAAGATCACTTTGATTTAAATAAACTTTATCCCGTAGATACATACAGCATAATACACTTGTTTAAATGAAAGTAATATGAGTTCATACCACAATTCTATATAATTCAATAAAATATCATCTTTGAATTGGCCGTCTTCATTAGCCCAGTCGAGGCAGAACAGTAGGACGTTAAACCCCATTTCTTTAAATTGGCACTGAATTCATAATGATAGATCATTAAAGAACGACGCCCACCCAACATTAATATATGTACACAGCAGGCTATATTTCTATAAAGGATATGTATCTCAATTTCTTTTTTTTATCTTTAATTGATTAGTGAGTTTATTTTAGGGTGTAGAGAAGGTAAGTTCTTGGTTTGTGTCTAGACTAGATGTGTGTGTCACTCTAATTTGAATCTATTTTCTATGTATTGTGATTTTAGTTAATAGTTTGTTTCTGTTTCTTTCATATATCAATAACAGAACCACAAAGCCTACACCTCACTTAGATGGGTAAGTAAAAGATTGTACACACCATACATTTTAATCAAGTCCTATGTTGTGATCATCCTGTCCACATGTCCATCATTCCACAATTTCCTGTTCACACTTCACAGATTAAAGTTCTTGTTGGATTTCTTTCAAATTACTAGAGATTGTTCATATGGTCACAAGGAAGAAACCTATCGAAAATCTTACATATTACATGACAAATGTCCAGCTGGCTCATAGTTATTGACCAATAGATCCAGAAACATTGAAGTCAATTTTTAACTTGAGCCGTTATGACCGGCGTTAATGACCAAGTTGGAACCCTTGCATCAAATGCTTCAAGTAATAGACGTTAAATTTTTTATTTGATGTTAGTCAAACTTGGTTTATGTACAAATCTCGTTGTCGTGGTGAAAATGATTTGGTTCTGCCAAAATTGGCTTTGTAGTCCTTAAAAGATCTTTTGGGAAATTCTATTTTCAGTATTCATGTTGTATTTGGTCAAGTCATAAAAGGTGAAGAAATTGTTAAAGCAATTGAAGATCACCCTACAGATTCCAAAAGTAGACCAACTGAAGATATTCGCATTTCAAATTGTGGAGAATTGGTTCTTCAACTTAAAGCTAAAGGTATTATTACATTTCATATTAAGATGCTCCAACACAATTATTGAGTTAGCTGTCCATGTTTCATCAAAAAAATGGATTACCTTGTCAGTACATCTCTACTTAAAGGATCTAAACCTCTATTCTTTGGAATCTGAAAATGAGTCAAAAATCACACAATAATGTGACATGAATCAGTTTTGTTCTGCGAAATATGTGAGCAGTCTAAATTGAATGACTACAAGTTTATCATTTAGTAATTTGTGGATCTGTCATTTCTAAGTACTTTTGCATTGACTTAAAGGATATGTTTTGCTTTGTAATTTGTTCATCATGCCTTTTCATTACAAATGGCTCCCGAGACCATAGACAACCCGATGTTGGGAACTGATTTTAAAATTTCCATTGTGTCTTACATATTTGCACAGTAAGATAACAACATTAATATTGATTGAAATGGACCAATATTGAATTCTAATTTTTGTTTTTAATTTTAAATATTATGGATATTGGGTTAGAGGTTTAGCTCCTTGAATTTTAATGTAGAAATTAATATCAAATCTCCATGAGGTAATAATATTGCATTCACCAGTGACTATCTGTTAGCGCTTTATTATATGGTAAATAAGTATAAGTTTTAACGTCCACTCAACACAGTAATAACAACAATTTTTGTCCCAAGTAGAATCCTTCATTGATGGTACCAGTAATAAAAACTTATTGTTATTTTCAATATTAAGCTGCTTTTAATTTATTCATAGCAAATTTAATATCTCATTGCTTTTACCACTCCCAGTAATAATAACTTATAAATATTTTAAATATAAAACTGATTTTAATTTATTCACAGCAAAAAAGAAAAAAGTTACATCTGGTACAGAAGATTCATCAAGCAGTTCTTCTGAATCCGAAACTGGTTCGATATCCGACTCCAGCAGTGATGAAAAAGACAAGAAAAAACGGAAAAAGAAACAAAAGAAAAAAGATTCCAAGAGAAAGAAGAAAGACAAAAAACCAGAGAAAGAAAGGTAACAATATGTTATATTAATTTTTGATTTTAAAATTTACTTCTAATCAAGCCGATTGGTAAAACATTGAACCAGTCATTATGGTATCATAAATCAATCTATTTTCGGCTAAATCATGAGTTAATTATTACTGGTTGATTAAGAAGTCTATCAACTTGCTTGTCGGCTACAATAACAATCATACCTTATTGAGAATTGGCCACATTGTTCATAATCCAAGTAATTTGCACATTTAATGGTAATTTTGATAAAACAGTAAGAAAACAAAACAGGCTTGCTGATTATTCGTAATGGGTCCAGTAAGTTGACTTTGTGAAAATAAGCCATGTGGGGAATGATTTTAATGAGTTTAGTGAGTACGGTGCTGGCTCTCAATTAATGGGGTTATGGGCGGTGTTGGCTGAGAAAGTTTTTCAGGATTTTCCTTGTCAATGACGCAAGGCAAATGGTCTGGCGAGGAAAAAAATCTAGTTGTTCGGATTGAACGGAAACCTGAGGTCTTATTTATATCATTGGCAGCACGTTAAAGTTCTCCTGGTGGATGGATATCAAAATAATAGTAAACTATAGCGTTTTTGTCTGGAAAAGATTTTCCACATAGTTTTTGTATGCCTGACTTCATTAGCCCAGTTGGTGCAGAAAAGTAAGACATTAAATTTCATTTCAGATTGGATTATTTGAAGGAATAGTCCTTTAACACTACATGAAATCTTTCTTGTTTATGAAATGAAATGAAATGGGGTTTAATGTCCTACTGTTCTGCTCCGAACTGGGCTAATGAAGATGGCCATACAGTGTGCTATGAGGGAAATTTTGCCCGGAGAGAGGCACTCCGTCCTACTCTTATATCAAATTCCAACTGTCAAGGGATCATTTACGTGAACACCATGACAAGGAGTAGGGTCGCCTGTCCAACCTTGTGGGTTTTCTCCAGGTCCTCCGGTTTCCTCCCACTGCTAAACACTCCTACGAGCAAGCGAATTATGGAAATAAAATTGAACCATATTTAAGTCCCGAAATGACCTAGTTTGTTTCGAGTGAACACACCAATGTGTACACAGGACCTCGGTTTTTCATACCATCCGAACGACTAGACAGCTGTCCTTGTGAGGTCCTCCATCCTGCATCACTGACAAGGGGAGCCACGCCGGAAAATCTGGATGAACTTTCTCGGCCAATGCAGGGATTGAACACCCGACCTCCAGGCTAACGAGTCAGCGTCTTACCCACTTAGCCACCCTGACCCCTGTCTTGTTTGGGGGGTTGGATGGCTGAATGGTTAGCGTGCGCGCGCTGTATCATAAAGTCTGTCATTGAGTCGACTGGCGTGGTTTCTAATCCCCGGTTGTACGTGACAAGGAGTAGGGTCGCCTGTCCAACCTCGTGGTTTTTCACCGGGTCCTCCGGTTTCCTCCCACTGCTAAAGACCCCTACGCGCAAGCGAATTATTGAAATAAAATTAAACCATATGTTAGTCCCGAAATGACCTAGTTTGTGTCGAGTGGACGTTAAACCCCATCTCTCTCTCTCTCTCTCTCTCTCTCTCCCCTGTCTTGTTTATGAAAATATATGCTTAATGACCTCAGTGCTTGAAATAAAGCTTTTATTCATTCATAACAAAGTCCTGATAATATCCTCTTATTTATTAGTGAAGAAACTGAGAGAGAGAAAGAGAAAATAACAACAATATTTGCCGAAATTCGTCCAGATGAAATACCTGATATACCTAACAATTTTCTCCTCCGTAACAAAGAGGAACGTCAGGCAGAAAATGGGTAAGTTAATATTTAGGAATTTAACTTCTTAGCATCCAAGTTTCTTCATTGTTTATAACTTATTTCATATGATCTATAAGAAATACCTTGAGTGTTTACAGATCCTGTTAAATCTTTCAATTAATCATTTCTTTAAAGTATCATAGGGATATGACTTTTCTATTGCGTGACATTTGCCCCAATGTTTTTTATATCAAGAAATTATCTTTTATCAATCCAAAACACGTAAAAAAAGTGTCCACCTTTAAGAGCAGTACTTTGCAATACTTTATATAATAAACTAAACACTGCCTAATAGATAACAATCACTAGCAACTTTAATATTGTGATGTTGCAACAAGCATTAGCTTGATAACGTTGAGAGAATACTCTTCGAAACTTCGCCCAAATGTTTTTCCATAAAGTATGTGGTATAGTTTATTGCTCTATCCAATTACTAAATTCCTCCAAAAGATTATTAAAGATACATTATGGGAGATTTTAATAGAGAGTTGGCCATTCTTGCTATAACAGTTCAAAAATAGATGATGAAAGAAGACTATATTGAAAATTTCAGTCAAATTACTTTATTCTGAACAAAGTTATCACTATTGTAATTTTTGACTAGAAATAGGAGTCAAATCTCTCTTCACCATCTCCGAGAATGGACGATCGTTTGATTGACAGGCGTTAACTCCACCTACATAATCTTGATTATCAAGTAACGTTTTCAATGGCTGTGGTTTGAGACAGGGTTGCAATTCAATTCGTATCACATTTATTTTTACTACAAATTAAAAATAAGACTTTTAATATATAGATAAGAAGCGAAAGTTTGAAAGGAATGGACCAAATCAATGAGGCATAATTATAGCTGACTTCTGGTTAGCCTGCGTGTACTCTTGTACGTAACTAGTAGGTCTACGTAACTCCCGAACAGTGATCTAATGGAGCTGCAATTCAACTGGGGTAATGTTAGCTGCGATGCTTATCAATTTCTATAATTTTTCTGTAAACGCAATTAACAAAAGAGCGTATAATACCGACATTCAAACTCTCATTTTAACCACAACTAAACATAATATCAAGGCAGTATATATCGAACTTTCAATCATATTGACTGACATGCGGCCTCGCTCAACAGTGGCCTTGCTTCGTACAATCTATCATTTAGCCTCGCTCTAAAATTATTTCCGGGAGTATGACGTCAACGTAACGGTTAATCTCCGCTTACGACGCCATTTAAAAATTTAATCAATCAACGAAAACCCTGTTTAAATCCAAGCCGAATCCAAGCCATCCGTGGGTCTACAGAGTTGATTTTGTGCTTGTTGTGTAAATAAAGATCTAATTTATAATTTCTATGACATCTGAAGCCTAAATAAAGACTTGCAATAATCAGATTTAGCTCTTGCATAATGTATGTTTAAGTATTATCTTGTCGTTATCAAGCACAAGGCAAGCAATAATATGATACAAAAAGATAATTTTGGATAAAGCAAAACCATTAAACACAGTACATTTATGTATAATATCTCGCTAATATTTTCCATAATTTAAAAGTTTTTGTTGTATTTTATTTTTGTAGAGAAAATGGTAATAGATCTCCACCTGGTTACGGCCAGAGAAGAAGAATAGAGCAGGTTCCTTATAAAGCTAGAGCAGTTTATTCTAGTACTGGACGGAAAATAAAAGGAAGAGGAAGTGTGGTAAGTTGTGTTCTTCATTATAAAACTGACAATTGTGTTTAAGCCCACATCCAGTTTCATGTACAAGAAAACCACTAAGCACTTTACAATTTGAACAAATACATGCATACATGTATGAATACCAAATCCCACAGAAACACACAAATAGTAATTAAAATTCATCAGGTATCAATCACATAGATTGCCTTATCTAACATAATAATTTATAAAACCCTCTCTATCAATCTCTCACAGTAGTTTATTATATTTTCAGAGGTACAGATCGAGGAGTAGAAGTCGAACACCACCACACTGGAGAAGAGAAAGGAATCGGTTGAAACCATTAGAACAAGTTGAACAGGAGAAGGAAGAACGATGGAAGCGAGGAGATAAATTAGAAGCTGTAAGAACTAATCCACAAGATGCCAGAGGTCATCTGCAACAACGATTTGAAACTGGAAAAATGGAAGAGGGAGATAAAGAGTAAGACCTATTTTATAACTTATTTAACAAAAAGAGAAAAGGTCTACCGTCTTGAATGCGGGTGAATTGTTTTTCCAAAACATCCAAATGCCAAAAGCCTGAGGGTTTTGTTAAAAATCAGAAATGTGTATGTCCTGTTTTACTGGAACGAAATAGAATTTATTATATCTACTCAATAAGACAGGCGATGCAGTTTAAGCCTATAGGCTGGAGTAACTTAAAGTCTGTCTAAATGAACCCACCGTTTTGAATGGAACTGTTTATAAATTAATTGAGCCTCCATTAAGAAAAAATGCCTGATATTAAACTTCTGTTTTTCTTTTTAGGGAGAAAGAGGAGAAAAAGAAAAAACATAAACATAAAAAAGAGAAAAAGTAAGTAATGTCAAAATACTTTGAAGCATAAAATTATTCGTAAATGGCCTATCGGAATTATTTGAAAATGGAAATTTATAATCTGTAAGATTGCAGACTTTACCCAGAATTATTTGTAGAACAAAATTATTTACAAATTTGGATGATAGATATGACCCATTAATGGAAGTAAGAACAATTTATCTCTGTGTCATTAGACTGAGAGCCTGGCAAGGATAAGCACCAGTTATTCTGATGGTTTGGAATACCAAGCTCCTAAGATCCCCATACAGTTGGAAATTGAAATTTAAGTAGGTTGTAAAACCTCTATCCGGGCAAAATTTCCATGATAGCGCATTGTATGGCATGTGCCTGTCTCATTAGTCCGGTTGGTCATTTTAAAAAACCGAAGTATTGAAATGTAAATCGTTTTTGTACTATATAATTCAAATCAGAAATTGTTGAAAATTTGATTGATGTATATACGAATTTGTTATACCATTAAAACTATATAGATGATATATATACAATGAGATTAAATATCCGTCCTATATGCCGGCGGTGATCTACTAAACTAATCATCCCAAGTATATTTATATCTTTCCCCTGCCCATATATACTTGCTTACTGTCTATTTATAGTCGGGGGGTTGGGTGGATGAAATGTTAGCACATGCGCGCTGTATCATAAAGTCTGTCATTGAGTCAACTGGCGTGGTTTCGATTCCCCGGTTGTACGTGACAAGGAATAGTGTCGTCTGTCCAACTTCGTCAGTTTTCTCCGCGTCATCTGTTTTCCTCCCACTGCTAAAGACCCCTACGCGGAAGCAAATTATGGAAATAAAATTGAACCATATGTTTGTCCTGAAATGACCTAGTTGTGTCGAGTGGACGTTAAACCCCATCTCTCTTTCTATTTATAGTCATAGAGTTAATAATTGTATCTTGGCCTAAGCTGCAAATGCCATAAAAATATTTTTATTGATTCACATAACTTAGTTGTTTTTTTTTCTTATTTTCTGTAACAGAAACAAAAAGCATAAAAAACACAAGAAGCATTCAAAGAAACATTCAAAGAAAAATGATGAGGATGAGGAGGAGAAATCTGAGAGCGAGGAAGATAGTGAAGAAGAAATACAGAAAGAAATGGAATCTGCGAGGAAAGCAGAACAGGATCGTAATATGTCGCGATCATTTGATAAAGATAATAAAAGATTAAATAGGTCATTTGATGACAACGTATTTAGTAGATTAGGTCCGCGGGATGGTAGGACAGGATGTAATCGTAGTCGGGAAACAGATGGGGGAAGAGGTGATGGAGGAAGGGACCGGAATGAAAGGTCAAGTAATAGAATGAGTATAGGTGAAAGGTTAAAAAATATAGCAGAAGGTGATGGTTTTCAAAGAGAACAGGTTAAGCATGAATCTCCTGTCAAAGAGAGAAAATTGTCAGATAGGCAAACTTCAAGATCGGATGAGAGAAGACCAAGGATTGATGAACGTAAATCAAGGTCGGATGAAAGAAGGCCAAGGTCAAGTGAAAGAAGGTTTTCTAAATCAGATGAAAATATTGAGAGGTCACATGAAAGACGACCTGATCGATCAGATGAGAGAAGGCCATGGTCAAATGAAAGGCGACGAATTGACCGATCACAAGACAGAAGAACAGATAGGTCAGATGAAAGAAGGCCACGAACAGCTGATAGGTCAGATGAAAGACAACCAATTGATAGATCACGGGAGAGAAGGCGAGATGAAAGGTCGTCTGAAGAACGACGACCAGTCAACAGATCAGATGAAAGAAGAAGAACAGATGAAAGACGGACCAGGTCAAGTGAGAGAAGGCCCATTGATAGGTCAGACAATAAAAGGCCTAGTGAAAGGTCAGAAGAAAAGAAACCTATTGATAGGTTAGGAAATAGAAGACAAACTGATAGGTCTGAAGATAGGCAAAGATCTAATGAAAGACGATCAGAACGGAGATCCCCAAGGTCGGATGACAGGCAACAATCAAGATCTAATGAAAGACGGTCAGAACGGAGATCTCCAAGGTCGGATGACAGGCAAGAATCAAGATCTAATGAGCGATCAAGTTCTCGTGCTCAGAAACCATCAAGATCAGAAGATGCAAAACGTTCTCCAGAACGATGTGGAAGAGATAGATCAAAATCTAGAAGTCATTCACCAGACAGATCTCGACCATCTGGTACAAGTTCTTCAAGTGACAGAAAATCACACAGACCTGGAGGTAGATCAAGCGAACCAAACAGAGATAGATCTTTGGAGAGGAGACGGTCGATTGAAAGAAATAAAAGGGCCGACGAAAGAAATAGGGCACATGAAGATGATAAAATTTCAGCTTCTAGAAATTCTAAAAGATCAAGAAATGATAGTTCCTCTTCCTCAGAAGAACGGAAACCCAGTAAGAGAGGGGTATCAGCGGCAGTACAGAAAAGATCTCACTCATCTTCTTCATCTTCGTCTGATTCTGATGATGACAGAAAGGAATCTCATCAACATTCTGCACAACCGGGGTAAGAATTCAAATATAAATGTTCTTTCTGTCTGAAGTACTTATAGTGCAGTTTTACTTACACTTACAGTTCACTACGGGGTATTAGGATCCAGAAATCAATTTGGAAACACATAAAAAAAGCTAATATTTTTAATCTAATGGCATTTCTATCTGTTCAACACATTTGTATTCAATGAAATATTAATATGTATGTTTTTTCAAAGGTTTGACATTATCTAGAAAAACTCCGGATTAAACATATAATATTATGCCCTATTGATAGGTTTGCATTTAGAATTTGAAGGATTTATTGGACTTCAATATCTCTGATGCATTTGTTTAAAAGAAATGATGTGGTTGCCTAGCAACTTTTCTTTTGTTGTGTCAGTAAATGAGTGGTTTGATTAAGATTTTATGTATGATCTGTTTGATATTTGAATTTAGGAAAATCGCCAGCACAACGACACCCCAAAGTAGATCTTCTAATACACCAAGTAAAACAAGGCAACGCTCACCTCAAGGCAGTACATCTCGGATTTCAGACGGTAGTACTTCTAGGCGATCAGAAACAAATTCGTCTAAAATACAGTATAACCTTAATGAATCGTCCTCTGCAATGTTGATGAAAAAGATTGAAAGATCAAGAAGTTCCAGTTCAGAAAGTTCAAGATCTTCAAGGGAAAGGCGAAAGCGTGCATCGTCACCTTCATCATCATCAGAATCTGACTCGGAAAGAAAGACTTCAAATACTTCAGATGTAAGTTCAGCAAGTTTGATTTTTGTCAAGATAATATTTAATAGGAAAATTAGTGTTTTCCATCAATCTAGTAGTAATATATATATAGATGTATATCAAAATAAAGATTCTGGAAAGAATATTCTATTTTGATGTATCATAGGATTGGTTAGTCTAATTTGTGGATTAGAGATTTTTAACATAATAACCGCACTGCTCCTATAGTATAGGCTCCCAGCTGTTGATTTTTCTTGCAACTGTAAATGTAAACTTCAGTTAACATAGCTATTGTAATCATTTTATAACTGTAATTTTATGCCCATAAATTTCAGTTATTAAAAAAGTTATTTTGCCTTTCTGATTCAGAAAAGATAGAAAATTCTGTTTGATAAAAAAAAAATTGTGCTTATCGTGAATACTATTTGGTTAGAATTTTTTTCTACCTGTCGCCTTTAATTTAGTAGTCTTGATTGTCTCTACTTCAACTGCAATGAATATATGTCTGAAAATGGTATCCTTTGCTTAACTAACTGGCGGCCCTTTTGTATTTACAATTCAAACAATGACTTATGAGATATGTCTCAGTCACACAGTTTCCAACGCATTGTACACTGAAAGGCAAACTAAAGCTCAGTTTACAGCTCAACCAACCTTAAAATATACATCTGCTCTGTATGACTGTTGCTGGTTACTTTGCACCAAGTCCATTCCCCTTCTCATTGCCTGGAAATCTCTTCATCATAATTTTAGGGAAAGGATTGGTTTAACAGACGACTTAACTGCTTCTTTTAAGGTATCTAATTGTGCTGTTTTAGGACGAGTTTCTCTATTTAATGTTTAGTTTCAAACTATTGTTGGAAAACTGTTCAAATTCTTTGAGAATCATAGAAAACTATTGCATTTCTACTGCCGCATAGTTTAAAATAGTTTTCTATGATTCTTAATGAATTTGATCAGTTTTCTAACAATGGTTTGAAAGTAAACATTATATTCAGAAACTCCTACTAATACAGCACAACTACATGATATCTGAGTTGTAGTGAATAGAACTGACTGAACACTGTATACACAATAGGTGCTATTATCAGTTATACACTCAATTTGTTAAAAGATTTTATCTATCGTGGTGGTTATTACATTGTATATGGTATGTTTTATTTGAATATTTCAGTTAAAACATGAAGAATACATAAGAGACAAGGAGACAAAAAGGGTTCTACATGTATCTAGATCATCTCCAGTTATCAAGTATGTCTTCTGTATTAACACATCTGATCTGTTAAATATTTCTTTTACTAGCTTAAAGACACAACAAGTCTAAAAGGAAGTCAAAAATAGAGTTGTTTTTTTTAAAAAAACTATACAATCAATTAATTGTACTGTCTAACTATTAATCAGAGTGATCGATCTTAACCCAATTGATGGCCATTTGAATTTTACATTATGTCGTCATGGTGCCATTTGTCTGTGATTGGTTGAAGGAGATATCCCAGTTTTGACTGTCTCCCCCTTAATAGGGTTTGGGACATGGGGTGTGGCTACCAGGCTTATTTCCCAATCTTAAAGTAGCTAAGTCTCTAACTCAATATCATCCAAAATCTTCGACATTGAAAACACGATTTATTTGTCGCTTTAAATCAACATTGATGTTGTGATCTTACCGGGAAAAGATAACCTTCTGATATCCAATATTTAAGACAAAATAAACATTTTAGAATTGGTACACAAATCGTGTACCATAATGCATTTCAGCGCTATTTGTATTAAGGCATATT